CCAAGTATGACCCGAACAATATCTTCTACGCCAGAACCGCTGTCGGGTCTGATGAGTGGACAGAGAGTGAGGGTGGCCGCTTGTGCAAAGCAACCTAGGAAGAATCCAATTAAGTTGAATGTGGTACTGTATAATATATCAAAGATATAAGTCCTATCATATATGGGCTAGATAGATTGTGATGTGGTGCGAGATGGGATTGAAGTATACTTGAAGACCCACCATCTCAGATTGCCATATGAAAGATCTATATATTTCTACCATACTCAAATTTCCCCGAACAAGAAAATAAACCATCTCATAGTCAACAAAAGACGTGGAATTTCTAGCTTCTCTTAATAGACTCGGCGATTATTATATGACTAGGTCCGTCCATCCTAGGCACACCTAACTAGTGTTCTCTCTCTTCTCGGATGCTCACATCTTCTAATCAAATCCTCGCTTTTTGCGGGCGATTTTCATCCGGCCTGTGAAAGCGATGAGATGATTGCGAAGAACCTCATGTATCAAATCCCAAGAGGCATAATCTATTCTATTGAATGAGTGTAATATGGCATGAAATTTGAGCTACCAATGAGAGCAGATGTACCAAAGCAAGCATTATCTTAAATAGACTATATTGAAAATCCCGAATATAAGAAGCAACCACCTATGTAACATCGCTATTCACCACCCGTAGCTATGTAAATTATATTGATCATTTTACGACGAAAAAAAAGTCAAAAGAAAATGGCATTAAAACGCCCCCTGTTCACAAGATTGCGCGTAGAAACCTCATGAGGTTGGTGGGGTTCTTGGGTAAGAGTATGGATCCCACGCGATCAATCTCCATGATCATGATCAAAACAAGGTTTCTGCAAAAGAAAGGGTATGTGAAAAATAAAATAAAAACAAAACTATACTCCGTGGGATGGTCTTCATACTGTTGTCCACGGGTGTGGATGTGTGGGAAGGTCAAATGACGGCGGTGAGACCGGCTGAATAGCATGGCGAGGTGTGTGATATCCCCCGAGACCAGATTCGCCACAGACATGCATGCCAAGGGCTGTCATGGGATCCCATCTGAAAGCAAAAAGTTAAGATTGACGCGAATGATCGCGAATGATCGCGAGTGCGGCCTCTGAGTGGAGGAGCATTCGCTCACCGGGGACGCGTCCGTGGGGGTCCCGTGGGGTTAGAGAGAGATGGCCGTCATCTGGAGCATGTCGGAAGAACGAAGGTTCGGTGAGAGCTTGATGGGCTGTAATGACAAACAAATATTTCAGAAGTCACTGAATAAAGGCTCATACTTTTTCCTCAGATCCTCCGTGTAAATATTCATGTTTCTGAGGTCGGGGGGATCCGGGTATTCCTCAAAGTTACCCGTGTCCGCGGGGTGGGATAGGCGGGGAATTATAGGTCCTTTCACCCGGCGATAAAACAAATCATCCCAAATGACATCTTGAAAGAACGGATGGGACTTGACTCGAGTCGAGCCACCAGAGATGTGGCCCAGTCGCTCCGACGGATTTGTTTTACACAGTAGGGAGACGATGTTTTGCGCTGCAGATGGCATATTCGGTGGGAAGCGTAGACGGCCTTCGATGATCTGCTCGTAGATGCGCATAGGGTTCTGATCCCAGAAAGGAGGCTGTCCGATCAAAAATTCGTAGATCAAGATTCCAAGAGCCCACCAGTCCACTGCAAGTCCATGACCGCTGTTTTGAATGACCTCTGGAGCTAGGTATTCCGGTGTGCCACATAATGTGTATGTCTCGCGATTGTCGACTTGCTTCGCAAACCCGAAGTCAACAAGCCTGAGGTGACCATCGGCATCCAACAGGATATTCTCCGGTTTGAGATCTCGGTAGGCAACTCCATGGACGTCGTGCAGGAACTCGATTGTCATTGTTATTTCGGCGGCATAGAATGTCGAGACTGCTTCGCTAAAGCGTCGTTGTCGTCGTAGATACGTGAATATTTCACCTCCAGGACAATAGTCCAGCTAACAATTCGTCAGCATCTTGTGATCATCCAAAGCATATTCCAAGTTCCAAAAAAAAGGTTGGCATACTAGCATGTAGAGGCACTTCTCATCCGAGAATGATGCGATCAAGGTGGTGATGAAAGGGTGGTCAATGACCGCTGCGAGGGCCTTGCGCTCGTTGCGCACATGTTCCACTTGCTTGAGTTTGATCACTTTTCCAGTCGCAATCAGCACGAGTTATCCCTCGCCACGCGCAACGTTAGACAAAGTGGCGCTTACCGTCCGCCTTTCGAAGAATTTTCAACGCATAGACTTTGTTCTTGTCCTTTTGGTCCTTTAACCTTGCGAGCCACACTCGAGCGAAAGTGCCTATACGATGAAAAAAACATGCAGTCAGATGCGATTCGTGTAAGAGAAATATGGGTTAGGCCACGCGCTGACCGGTTCCAAGAGTCTTGACGAGCACAAAATCGCTCACATGCAGAGTCCTCGACGAGATGCACAGTTGCTTCTCGTCCTCGCGCTCGGTGATGAGGAAAGGGTTCGAGGATCGCGGAGAAGGGCGGAGGGACTCGACGAGTTGCTTTTCCCTGTGATGCAGGTTGCCATTTATCTTAGAAAATACCATGGTTCCTGGCGCCTCATTTGGCGAATGTTGCACTGCTCCGGTTGCCATTAGAATGCTCAAAGATCATATCGCGGTAAAAGAGGAAAAAAGTGTATGGAGACACCGTTAGCGCGCCACCAATCGGCAACACAGGTTGATCCCGGGTTTCAGATCATAAAGAACATTGAGGTTCGAGGGTTTGAAAGAGTCTGTTTGGAAAAATCGCGGGGCAAAGAGTTGTAAGAATGGAAGTTCTACCTCTGACGTATTTACTATGGGGGGCGGGGCTGGACGGGAAGAAACTACGGTGATAAACCGGACTCTGAGTAAGCTCTTAGCTTTGATTTGAGCCGAATCTATATAAGATTCTTTTATTGTACACCAGAAATAGGAATGTATTCGATTCAGAAGTCCATATCTCGATCCAGTCGCATGGCCGTTATCTGTCCTGGTACGTTTTTGGTACATACGTGCATCTATTAAATGGCGTCTGTTCGAGTTCAGGATGACCGGTAGCGGGCGGAAAAGTGTTGTGGAATAGGTTGTTGTATGAAACTGCTCAGCGCTCAAGACTTCGAGTTTAGGATCAAACCAACAATCAAGCTGACCACGTTAGTAGGAGTAATCTGAAGAGTCTGACTCAGAAACATACCCATAAAGCCCAAGAACTTCGCCGAAAATCAGGATGAGAATCATTCCCACGTAGACCCGAGACTGTTGCATGTATGCTCGAACACCCTAGAGTAGCTGTTAGGGCTTCAATAGTCCTCTCGTGTTGCTGCGCATATAGGGTCCTTACTGCATCGCCCACAACTCCAATTGTATAACCAGCAGCCACACCCGTAAGACCAACTGACATTCCAGCGGCAAGATGCATGAAACCTCTGTGCAGTGTTAGCTTGTACCATGCTCCACATCCACCCAACTTTCGAAACGTACGTGTACAAGCTCATATTGGTTGTTGGGCCCACTGCTTGCGCAATGAGCACGGCGATAACGAGACCGTAAACTGCAATGATACCGGACATAACAACGGGGATGAGGGACTGCAGTCATGAACTCAGTTAGCCAGCGTTCTGTCCATCACGAAACCAGCGAACTTGGATAAATGGTTCCTTACCTTCATGATGAGATCAGCCCTATAGGTTCCCACACCTGCAATTCCAATACCAGACTTTGCTGTGCCATAAGCTGCTCCTGCCGCTGTGAGATTGTAAGCTGTTTGTCCGAATACCCAGAACCTAGAGAACTAGCTCCCATCCACACGAGGTATTTCACGTACACCCGAAGATCATCTACAGGGAACTGTTAGTGCACTGTCGAATCGGAATGAGGTTGTAATGAACTCACTGCAGCGGCAATGCCAGCCTAGTATAGAACGCCTGTTAGTCTATCAACTCCAATGTTCTCAGGACCTTGGACTCACGAAGGAGAAGAACGGAGCGAACTTGGGCGCAAGCTCACTGTCTGCCATAGTGATGTTGGAGCAAGACTAATCTTGCAAATCACACAGAAGAAATATGAGAAGAAAATGAGACCTGTTTGATACAAGATCAAGGGCAGGGAGAAGTTCGGGCTGTTGATAGCTGGAGGTTTCGGGGCTTTGGGTGTTCCACATGGCCACTTCGCCCGCCGTAGTCCACCGCCGTAGTCCACGCCATTGTCTGGTCCTGGGCGGTGACGATACCGTACCTATTCTATTCTGGATGTCGACTCTAAAAGCCCTATCAACGGCAGATTAAGAGTCTTTGTATTGAAATTACCATACCGGCCTCGCCGTCACCTTCGCCATCCTCGTTCTCCTGGGTCCGGTCCCTCTTCCCCCCCCCCCCAGTTTATTACTGCATTTTCAACATCCAACTACCACCCCCACCTTCAACAACCCTCCTACCTTTACTACTCACCTCAAATCTCGGAGGATGCTGAGGGCATGAAATCGAAAGGAGCCCTGACTTAGTTGCGCTCACGGCTCCTGGCGCTTTTCCATTAATACCGCTTCGATATCGCCTTTAAATTCCCCATCCGAACTGAGGGGAGTTATGGAATATTGAGTCCCATCAGTGCTTTGAGACAATCTATTATTTCTTTCGAGGTCATTGCCTACCGAAATTTTTTCCCTCGTTCCGCCTCTATCGTTTCTCCCGTTGTCTACGATCTTGAACAGACCTATTGCGACGCCCTGAACGCTCTCCACGATCAACCCGGATACCCCTTTCGCCTTCTTCGCACCCCGGCATACATATATCTTGCGTATCTGATTAAATCACCGCTACTCGTCTTTCATCGCTGATAATTCGTGAAAATGGCGGATTTGGGGGCCAGCGTAGCCGGAATTACCGGCCTCACGGACCCGCCTCGTCCACGCAGCGGGATGCAGCGTATTCTGACATCTTTGGAGGCGCACCACCCGCAGGACGCTCCCATACGATGAATTCGCAGACTCCGCAATTCTCCCAGGGTCGCGCTCATACCATGTCATCGCATGTCGCACAACCCCAATTTCAAAGACCGCCGCCGCCGCCAACACGGCAAATGCCAAATGGACACGGACCGCCTTCGGCACCACCAAATGGATATCCTCCACCCCCACCGTCTGGACAATATCAGGCCTACAATCCAGGGGCCTCGGCAACAATGTCTTCGCATCAGCCTCCTCGACACAACCCTGGTAACCAACAAACCCAACAACGCTTTGCTGCCTATCCTCGACCTCAACGCCTCGAGTCAAGACCAAGCCCTGCTCCGCAATACCCAGATCCTAGGGATTTCAATCGCCCTATGCCTCCTCCTGCGCTGAATTCTGATTCATCCCGGTCAAGGTCAATGGCAAAACTAAGCGGGCCGCCTTACCAGATCCCGCCAAGCAACTTCAATCACACATCTGCCACTGCCTCTCGCCGTGAACAGTATCATGCTGGAGCCCAGGTCACGCAGCTCGGCCGTCCTGTCCCAGAAAAGCATGCGAACGAACGAGCCATGTCTATGTCGTCCTGGTCATCGGACCGGGATCCGCATATCATGAACAGTGGAAGGTCAATTCCACACCGCAGACCTCCGTCAAGTCACGATCAGCAGATTCCAATAAGGCAAGAGTCAATGATGCAGCCTAGCCCCGATGAATCCGTTGCATCTCGTCAGCCAAGCGATGCATCGCAGAGATCTCGGACTATGTCCATGGCATCCACTGTTGCGCCCGATCGGACGATGAGCGTTCAAAGCCAAGCCACACAGGGCTCCTCCGGCAAAGTTACCCTTGTTTCTAGGGATTCGCAGCGGAAAGTCCCGGTGGTTTATCCTGCTCTGCTTTCTCTCGTCGCTGAGATTTTCAGGGAGAAGATTTCACTCGGCGAACGACAGAAGAACGGGCTTTCGTATCAGAATGCGTTCTCCGGTACTGATTCGGTGGACTTGATCGGCTCCATAATCAGAACCAACGACCGCAACCTCGCTCTTTTGCTCGGCCGCGCGCTGGATGCTCAAAAGTTCTTCCACGATGTCACATATGACCACCGTCTTCGAGACGCACCCGGAGAGGTCTATCAGTTCAAGGAAACAATGGGAGAAGACAAGTCGACAATCGAGGTTAACGGAGTTTTTACTCTCCTGACTGAATGTTATTCTCCTACTTGCAACCGGGACACTCTCTGCTATTCTATTGCTTGTCCGCGACGACTCGAGCAGCAGGCCAGATTGAATCTGAAACCTCAGCCGGTACTGGGAACATCGGAATCCAAAACTGCTCTGCCCCCCGATGATGATGACGACAATGATAACCAAAAGCTGTGGATTAGCACGGTGCCCAAGGAGGTCTCAGACTCTGTTGATGATCACGAGAAGAAACGGCAGGAGGTTATCTTCGAGCTCATGTACACGGAGCGTGATTTCGTCAAGGACCTAGAATATCTGCGGGATTTCTGGATGCGACCATTGCGCGCTGCTGGAACCACTACCCACTCGCCAATTCCGGAACATCGGCGTGAGAAGTTCATCCGAACTGTTTTTGGCAACTGCTTAGAGGTCCTCAAGGTCAACAGCGCTCTGTGTGAAGCCCTGAATGCTCGACAAAAGGAAAGTCAGGTTGTTCAAACCATCGGTGACATCTTCTGTCAACATGTCCCTAATTTCGACCCTTTCATCAAATATGGTGCCAACCAACTTTATGGAAAGTACGAGTTTGAGAAGGAGAAAGCATCAAATCCCGCCTTTGCCAAATTTGTCGAAGACACAGAACGTCTCAAGGAATCTCGCAAGCTGGAGCTGAACGGTTACTTGACGAAGCCTACAACTCGTCTTGCAAGATACCCGCTTTTGCTTGAAGGTGTTTACAAAAACAGTGCGGATGGCAACCCTGACAAAGAAGATATTCCGAAGGCCATCAAGCTGATTAAGGACTTCCTTTCGCGCGTCAATGCCGAAAGTGGAAAAGCGGAGAACCATTTCAACTTGGTCCAACTGAACGCTGCGCTGAAATTCAACTCTGCGGACTATGTCGATTTGAAGCTTACAGAAGAAAATCGACAAATGCTCATGAAGATGTCATTCAAGAAGACCACAGCCGACAGCTCCGATGTTACTGCGTATTTATTCGATCATGCCGTCCTGCTCGTTCGCGTCAAAATGGTGAATAAACGCGAGGAATCTCGAGTTTACAGGAAACCCATTCCTTTGGAACTGTTAGTAATCGCTCAGATGGAAGAGGTTATCCCACGACTGGGTATTGCCAAAAGACCTTCGTCCAGTCTCCTGTCCAACAAGACTGTCATCAACAATCCCCCTCCTGCCAAAGATGGTGGACTGCCTATCACGTTCAGGCATCTCGGCAAAGGTGGTTACGAGCAGACTCTGTATGCCACAAATGTCGCTACACGACGAAAGTTTATCGAAGCGGTAGAACAACAACAACACAAACTGTGGGAACGAAACAGCAATTTCTACAACAAGACGATCCTGAGCGAGGGCTTCTTTGCAGCGGTCAACCGAATCAACTGTCTTGTTCCGATTGGTAAGTGAAAACTTTCTAATTTAACTCAAGTCTCGCTCGCTAACGGCTATTAGATGGAGGCCGGAAGTTAGTCTACGGGACTGATAATGGCATATTTGTCTCTGAACGGTGGCCTAAAGACAAAACAGCCAAACCAAGAAAGGTTCTAGAAGCTACTCAAGTCACGCAAATTGACACTCTAGAAGAGTACCAGCTGCTGTTGGTTCTGGCAAACAAAACGCTTTCCTCTTATCCCATGGATGCTCTAGATTACGTCGAGGGCCAGAACAGCATGGCAAAACGGCCCAAGAAGATTCAGGGCCACGCGAACTTTTTCAAGGCAGGCATTGGTCTCGGTCGTCATCTTGTTTGTTCGGTCAAAACATCGGCGCTATCGAGTACAATCAAGGTCTACGAGCCGATGGACAATCTGGCGAAGGGAAAGAAGAAGTCTGCTGTCAGCAAAATGTTCCAGGGCGGCCAGGATACTCTTAAGCCATTCAAGGTTCGTATTTTCTCTTGCATGTTTGTGGTTCACTTCACACTAACACTTTTACTCAGGAATACTATATCCCTGCCGAGTCTTCTTCCATCCACTTCCTGCGTTCTACTCTGTGCGTTGGTTGTGCGCGTGGCTTTGAAGTGGTCAGTCTAGAAACAACGGAGACACAGTCTCTCCTTGACCAGGCCGACACGTCCCTTGATTTCGTGGCACGAAAGGAGAATGTTAAGCCCATTCATATTGAGCGTATGAATGGCGAGTTCCTACTCAACTATAGTGATTTCTCATTCTTTGTCAACCGCAACGGGTGGCGAGCCCGTCCAGACTGGAGGATCGCTTGGGAGGGCAACCCGAACTCATTCGCGCTGTCGTACCCTTACATCCTGGCATTCGAACCCAACTTCGTTGAAATTCGACACGTTGAAACAAGTGAATTGACGCACCTTATGACCGGCAAGAACATTCGCATGTTACACAGTTCCACCCGCGAGGTATGTTACTTCCAGATTTTTCTTCTCAAGATTTTTCCCTGGGGATCTTTTATCACTGATCTAAGGCTAACTGGTTTTGGTAGATTATCTATGCCTATGAAGATGACCGGGGCTATGACACTGTTGCCAGTTTAGATTTCTGGACCAACAAACCACAGCCAGCCGCCGTCTGATGTCCGAATGGTGCATGCCCCAATGAACCCCCTGCTTGACATCGTCGCTTTGACGCTGTCGCCCGCATCTCTCTTTCCACGGAGCATTAGGGACTTCTCTTCCCAAAGTTCTCAATGACACGCGCCCTTCACTGCATGTGTCATCCCAGCACACTCGCAAAAGTCGTGATTGTATGTACTGTGTTGTCTGTACAACAGTTCAGCCGATCATTCACATCTACTTGGCAAATATCAACCCCTCCCTTTCCTCAACACCAATTACAACAAATCGGGGGTTTTTCCCGTCTTTTCTACGCAATGTACAATGGAGCGCAAATACCACTTCTTGCGTGTCTGCTTTCTTGCTTTTCGCTGCGTTTCTCTTTTTTAACTTCTTGCTGATTGCATTTGCTCCTTTTTCTCTTCTTTTCTAAAATTTTTCTACCTTTCTTCTTTAGCTCTTTCTATCTCCGGATGGCTCTGTTTCCCACATGGCCATATTCTCGAGACGTCTTCGTTCTCCCTGTATCGTTTTGAGTTCGAGGCACCTTTGTCTGTTATACTTAGCAATTTCATTGATGTGAATGGCACCATTGCATTTCAGATGAGAATTGCAGTAGACTTAAAGCTTAGTTGGTTAATGCCATTAAATACAATCATGGATATTCGATCTTCTTTCAAGTCTTTCCATTTTTTTTGTGCTGACTAGAATGAAAATAATATGCATGAAGTACCCAAATATTAGACCTCAAGACTATAGTTAGTTATATCGCTCTTCATGTTGGTTCTTCAGAGCTTGATAATTGGTCCATGTGCAGCTAGAGTCCATAGTATACTACTAGATCTTTAAATTTTTTGGACTAATAGATAGGGCATTGTGAAATTAGGCAAACTTGATTGCCTCGCTGGTGAAGCACTAAACTTGGAAATCTTCCTTCGCTAGACGGAAAGTCAAGCAAGCCCATAATATGTCGAAGCCGTGTAGATATTTTGACATATTAGCTGTAGTTCCACAAACCAAAGCATGCTGCTACAGATAGTATACAGTAACCAACTACAGTAGCAGAACCAAAAAACGACAGAAGCAAGCGAGCTAGTCAGGTACTTTTTCTTCCTCAATTACTATCAGGGGGGTAGGAAGACAGGCGAGGAGAAAGGATAGATAATGAACAAGACAGGAGCCACGAACGCAAAAAAAACAAGAGAAGAGGGAATATTGCTGCGCTGCGGACTTTGGACAAGAACAGGAGAGGGAAGTAGAGAAGAGGGGGAAATAGAAATGATGCGGCAACATGTCACGGTGGCAGCTGGGATGCGATGAAAAGAAAAAAGAGGTCATCCTGGACACGACGGAAAACATGTGCTGGAAGGAAGGCAGTGACCAGATTGAAGACGAGCGAGATATATCGAGCATAGGGAGTCCAGAAACTGGTAAAAACAATTCCCAACTCGACATACTTCAGTCTCCTTGGAAATGAGAAACATTGCACCCACAATTCGTGACCGGAGTGCTGTAATCTATGTTGAGGTGGCCCATCCCCGCAAAGGTAAGAAGAAAAGAAGAAAAAAGCTATTAACGTGAATAAACAGTCAATATTATCCCATAAACAAAAGCCAACTTGTTGGTGCCATAAAAGTCCATGCTGGCACAAACGGTATCACATTGCGAACCGGCGCCCCGCTGAATGAGCCGCATCGTCGACAGGGTATATCTAGGCCTCTCCGTTGGCTGCTTCGCTGACATTGCCCTGGCTTTGCTGCTCGCGCTGCATGCGAGCCTCGATCTCTCGGAGCTGGCTCTCGCGAGCCAACAGCTCCTGTCGCTTCTCGGCAATCTCACGCTGCACCTTGATTTCAATCTCACGGAGCTTCTCCTCCTCGCGGCGGAGCTGCTCCTCCTTGAGGCGGTGAGACTGAGAAGCAAGATCCTCGGGGTTCATAGCAGAATCATAGCCACTGCTCATCCATATGTTAGCAGGTTGATCGTAGAAATTTCTAGTATCAGGTGGAACGTACCCAGATCCACCATCAACGCTCTTGCTGAGCTTCTCAGTACGGTAGTTCTCATAGAGGAAGTCGTGAGTGATCTCCTTCAGATCAGCCAAGTGGCTGTGGAGAAGAGCGCTACGGATAGCCAGGAAGTCCGAGTGACGAGGGTTCTCAACCTCGACGACACCCCATGGGTACTGGCGCGCGCGCACTTTTCGGTTGTCAATCTCAACAAAGTCTTCGGAACCGACAATAGCGAAGGGCATCAGTCCACGGAGCTCGGCGTTCTCCTCCACAGTGTCCTCATCATCCTCCTCGATGTCGTAGGGGAAGTTGTAGACGGGAATGCGGTAGTGTTCGATATCTTCCATGATCAGCTTCTTGGACTCGGCCAATTCGGCGGGGGGTGAGCGAGTCGGCCTTTCCAATGACAGGAATGACGTTAACACGGGGAGAGAGGCGCTTCATCAATTCGATATCGAGTTCACGGAGACCGTGGCCGGTGGGTGTGATGAAGTAGAGCAACACGTGCACTCGGTTATCCCTGAAGCGAGGGTTACGCTTAATTCGCGACTCCTCTGCAAGAATATCATCGTATTGGCGCTCAAGGTAACCGACAATCTCGCCGAAGCTATCCAGAAAGTCAGTCCATGAACATCTGGCGGGTAACTGTGTGTACGTGCCTGGCCTCGTTGTCAATCTGGTCACCAAATCCGGGGGTATCGACGATAGTCAAGGAGATGCGGGTTCCTTCCTCGTCCAACTCAAGCTCTGTAATCCCGGTGTCAGTTCTTGATAGCTTGATATAAGCGCCGTGCGCGGGGGACGGGTTCAACTGACCGACAGTCACGGGCTTGATACGGACACCCTCCTCAAGGTGGGCATTGGCAGCATCGTCGGCATCCTTGCCCTCCAGAACCTGCTTGCCACAGAGAGTGTTGACAAAAGTTGTGCGACCTGTCGCGGAAAGGAGATCCGGTTAGTCCGTGATATATTCGAGTGATTCGTTTCAACATACCTGTTCCACTGGCGCCGCACACCATCAAACAGAATTGGATACCCTTCTTGACATTCTTCTTGCGACGAATCTTGATCTACCCGAAACGAGTACGGGCATGCAATTAGCTTGGGAAACTTTTTAGAGAAGGCGGGAAGCTCCCAATAAAAGGGGAATGTACATACCGCGTTGAGGGCTGACGACATTGTGAGCTAAAGGAAGATTAAAGAAGTGTAATCCGGAGAAAGAAGTCCAAAGCAAGGAATTAATAACGAGGAAGAAGGGTGTGAAACTTGGCTCTCCTGAGAGTCTGGAGAGAGTAGGGGGGGAGGAAAGACAGTTCGTGTTTCCCCCTTTCCCAAATAGGCGGCCAATCACGGGACAGCTCTTCTTCTCCAGTCTGCTACTACTTTTTACTTCTACAAAGCTCTTGATCAGTCACAATTGATAAGTGAATGCAAAAAGAAAAAAGAATATGCAGTAAATTGTCAATTATACGTTGGGTATTCCCCCCTATTTCCATGCACAATATTGCCTTCCATCCTCATCAACAAACATCGAGTACATAGCAACTCAGGGGTTGACCAAAGTGGGTCGCTGCTGGCAACCGTATGATTACATAATTGGAGGCCTGAGGTGTCGATGTGGATCTTGCCCGCATTGCTCTTATCGATTAAGAAGCTCGGGGATGATCCCAGACATCCTGTGAAGGCATTTGAAGCATTCGAACCTGGAAAGATCCTTAAGATCAACTATTTATTAGGAGCAGTGGACTTCACTGTACAGATTCTGCCCACATCTATCTATTTGATCAAGAAATTCTTTCCTATGCTTCGTTGACATACAACGATGAATACCCGCCAATCTATCGATGAGTCCATCGGGCCGTATTCACTCTCAGCAACGTTTAATCATGATAACAGCTGCTTCTCAGTGGGCTTGGACACGGGATTTTGTGGTAAGAAATGCTTGAGTTAGCTGCCAGAGGAGAAACTTGGAAGAAGCTAGCTCATATCATGAACTATGGAACCCAGGCTGATGAACGACCGGAACAGTATATAATGCCAACCCTTGCGAGCTCAAGGTTTTGAGAGGTAAGCTATTGATATTCAAGTCGGGAATGTACTAGATATGAAAGAGCTCACTCTGACTGCCTTATTTGCACTTAAGATTTCAACGCAGGCATCGGGGTGGCGGAAATGCTTGGCCAGTCGAACTACTTGGCTATTGTCGGGGGTGGAAAGAACCCCAAGTTTCCACAGAACAAGGTAAGCAATCATTCCCAGCGCAATGTGTGAAAATCAAAGCTCAAACACACCCTTAGTTGGTTATATGGGACGACGCCAAACAGAAAGTGGCCATCACACTTGAATTCCGCACCTCCGTCCTCGGTGTCCGCCTCTCCAAATCAAAAATCGTCGCGGTGTTATTGAACAGTGTCCATGTATTTGCATTTTCCAACCCCCCGCAGAAACTCTCAGTCTTTGAGACCTCCGACAACCCTTTGGGGCTGGCCTGTCTCGATAACAAGGTGCTGGCCTTCCCAGGTCGGTCTCCGGGCCAGGTCCAAATGATAGAGCTGGAGACTGGCAACATCAGCATAATACCCGCACATAGCACACCGTTGCGTGCTATGGCCCTGAGTCCCAATGGGAACTTGCTGGCGACTGCGAGTGAGTCCGTAAGTTTTCTTGTGGGTTGCGATCATCTATGGGTGGGTCATTGACATCTATACAGGGGACTTTGGTTCGTATATTCGCTACAGGGAATTGCACGAAGCTGGCAGAATTGCGACGCGGTGTTGACCACGCAGTGGTATTCTCAATTTCCTTTTCGCCATCCAATACTTTGCTGGCAGTAACATCTGACAAATCGACTCTCCACATCTTTGATATCCCCCAGCAACCCACTGCTCGTCGCAGTCAGTCACCATCACCTGCAACCGAGGAAGCACCTGCTAGTCACAAATGGGGAATCCTTGGCAAGATTCCCCTGCTTCCTCGTGTCTTCTCTGATGTTTATTCATTTGCCAACGCACATTTTGAGATTGGTGAGCAAGCCAACCTGGGCTCGCCGCATGTGCCCCCGACCGGGTCATCATTTGGTCGGCCTCAAAAAGGCCTCATAGGCTGGTGCGATGACCAGACTTTGTTGGTAATCGGGTCTGGGAAAGAGGGGCGCTGGGAGAAATTTGTGCTTCGAGAAGGCGAGGAAGGAAAGAGATATTGTTTGCGGGATGGCTGGAAAAGATATCTCGGTTGACAGAAAATACACGATAGACATAGACGTGCGTTTGGATCAACCCGATAACGACGAGTTGGTATGATAACCTCAATCCTCGACGCCATAGCCACCAATTCCGCTATAGTCGACGAGGATATATGATTCGAAGGCGAAGTCGATTCTGTACGCATTGAAGATGGTCAAATTTGAAGAAGTCACCACCGGATCAGGATTGATATCCTCATCATGTACCTCTTGCTTGACCAATTAATTTTCAACCGCTATATCTTTGGTAGCTGGTTTTATGTCACTATCTTCGGACTTTTCCAACGTGCCAGGTTGTAAAGAGGTTGTGGGAAATCGACCAGAGGATTCAGTAGATGATAAGAATGATGGGTAAGACTGATCCAAATCGATTGGATTCTCCCTCGAACCCAATTCGAAAGACATGTTGATATATATTCGTGTAGGACTGAAATAAAAAAGGAAGGAAGAAAGAAAGAAAGTGATTGAAACAGAGCGTATGAAAGAAGAGAAGAAGTATGAAAGGGAGAAAAGATTATCTATTATACAGCAGATTATAAAATTATACGCTTTCCAATATCATTGTGACGTGAATTTACAAAATCCCCAGTCTGTCACAACAAGGATGGTAGTATATCGCACAGCAAGTAACGACCTCCTTGTCCGCAGCACCAAGCTCATTGCCAGCATCAAGCTCGAGTCATTGCATCACTTTCTGGACTGGGAGACACTTTTATTTGGTCAGGGTGAACCAAGTTGCAAGGAGATAATCTAGGCGAGAAACACGGGTAGCACCGTAGATAACCTTGGAAGACTCCATAGTGATATCTCATATATTTTTCAATGGCGGCGATCATGTTTATCCCGATCACTTCGGTGCCTTCGGGATTCGGGCGAGCGCGATTTCCTCGGCGATCGGTCCCTTTTTGATTTTTCTCCTCTTTCAGATGACCTATAACGAGATCGCCTCTCCCTATCTGGAGAACGATCATCTCTATGTCTTCGCTCGCGAGGAGAACGGGAGCGGTGTCGGCGGTGGTGTCGGCTTGATCGTTCTCTGCTGTCGTCGCGTCGCCGAGACGACTTCTTGGTGCTGTTCCACAACTGGATTGCAGTAGCGACCTCTTCTTTCTTCTCCTCGATGAGGAATTCCTTCATCGGGTCTTCCTCGTCGTGGTTCCGGATCAATGCTTCCAGCTCTTTCTCTTCTTTCAGGATTGGTCGCCTCTCTTCTATTTCGGTTCCCCTTCTCCGGTCGTCGTCCTTGCCCTTGATCTCGCTGATAGCCGGATCTCCCATCAACTTGGCGACATTGTCCTGCGCTTCCTCATCATCCTTCCGCTTGTAGCGCGCATGATCCACTCGAAGTAAACGGCCCATGACAGTTGCACCACCGAGGTTATCAACGGCAAGATCTGTGCTACGCTGGTCCTCATATTTCAGAAAGGCAAATCCTTTGCTCTTGCCTGTTTCCTTGTCGCGGACTAGATTGACATGCACCGGTTCTCCATACTGTGAGAAAATCGCAATAATATCACCTTCGGATAGATCAAATGGAAGTCCTCCGATGTAGATATAGGCTGTGTCGCGGTAGTCTGCATGCCATGATGCCTCTGGGGGACTATAGGTGGAAGGTAAGACTGTCAGCGGGAAAAAGAGCTTTGCGGGAGCTTCAAATGAGGTCAACTTACATCGCATGTTCAAGCTCACGCTTATTGAGCGCCTGGACCTGGCGAATAGAATTCATTGGGGAAATATGTGTGAGAGAACAGTTCAAGGTTGCGGCAGAAGTTGGAGAGAAAGAAATGTGGAGCCCGCGCGGAACCGTAATAATCAATTGTTTACGGGGACGCACCTTTATTATGCAGACTAGCCCCCTGCTCGACGACGTGCCAAAACCAAAGAGACCCTCCTCTTTTGTTTTTTTGTGACTTGCAATCGAAAGTCTTACGCGAGAAGGGTTGTTTTCACCTGGGCCTACGTTTATCTATCTCCCTCGGGATTCCCCTGACCCGCGACGCTGCTTCGCCTTTCCCCCCTCCGCCGCCACATTTCCACGCGCACAATATTTCCGCTGTACGGTAGAGACAGACATTTGGAAGGGTGAATGCCCTTTGAGGCATGGTGGGACTAGACACGATGTCTTCCAGCCCGAATCCCGCAAAGGCGGCTGGAACGAGCAGTCGACCAACCAGCAAAGATGGCTCCAAGAAGAACATTTGGTCCTCTCTATTAGATACTGTTGCCAACGGCAAGCGCTTGCCTGAGAAGAACTTGCTAGTGCTAGGTTAGTACCAGTTTCCTCTGAGCATTTCAGTGCCGCTCATCCTCATTTCTGGTCCCGTCTTTCAATTCTTGGACATATCGCTAATAGCTCGATGATAGGTGGCACGCCGGACAGCCAAAGGGAATTTCTAGATACTTTTTCCGCGGACACGTCTGCAGACCCTAGCTTAGCAAACGACAAACGGAAAAGTAAAGGGAAAACACCACCAATCGCCAATCAGTTTGCGCTTGGATACACATATCGAGATGTCCTCGATGCGGATAAAGAAGGTACATGGGAAATGCATTCTTTTACTAGCTTTGGCTATACTAATGCTCTTCTCGCGCAGATACTCTGGCCCGCGTCTCGGCCTACCTCCTGTCCGAGCCTTCTCCGTCATTCGCACCTCTCCTCAAACCACTCCTGACCCCTAAGTCCGTCCCGGAAACGCTGGTTGTCATCCTGATGGACTGGTCAGACCCATGGACGTGGGTTCGAAGGCTAAGAGAATGGACCCGTCTGCTACGTTCTGTGCTCGTTTCGCTAGACGATGAGACTAAATTCGTTATGGAAGAGACCATGACGGAGTGGCGCGATCGCAAGAGGGGAGTTGATCCCAGCTCTGCGGCTGCAGGCGGCATATCAAACTCAAGCGGTCCGGTCACAATACCTCTAGGACCCGGTGAATGGGATGAGGGCCTCGGAATCCCAATGTGTGTTGTTTGCCAAGGGGTACGTAAACTGGTATCAAGAAATCAATTGCTGGTAAATATTTGCTGACTTGGCTCCTCGATGTTCTCAGGCGGATAAGATCGAGAAATTGGAGAAAGATCACGGGTGGCATGAAGAGCAGTTCGATTTCGTTCTCCAGTTCCTCAGAACGATTCTACTGAAGCGTAAGGACTTTATTCCCCTGTGTTTGGCCATTTTGGGCTCTTTTCTGACCCCCAGACAGACGGCGCATCGCTCATCTATACTACCCCATTCCTTGCAAGCTCTCTTCAGGGCCTGATTCATTCTTCCCTGGGCATACACTCTCTTTTGAAAAGAGAATCATTAAAACATAATGTGATCGACCGAGACAAGATCCTGGTGCCAGCGAACTGGGACTCGTGGGGTAAGATCCGAATTATTCGGGAAGGATTTGACATGGAGGGAGTATCAACAGCGTGGTCAATTGAGATCCAGGATCCTCCCGAGCCAATCTATCAATCCACAGACGACAACCAGCAGAGCGAGAACGGCCTAGCAGAAGAAGGTACAAGCGCAGTGACCATGTTCGAACAAACGATCAATGATCCCAAACGAGGCATAGCCAACCCCAACGGCAACACGACCAAGATCGAAATCGAGACCACCGACCTTCAAGAGTTCTTCGCAACCCAAGTGGAGAAACTGGAAGATCTCAAAGCCAAGGATGAGAAGGAGAATTCAAACCAGCCAACCCCCCAACTGGAGATGTCTCCCATGGCCGACGAAGGCAAAGTCAACGACCACATCGGCCCTGTACAGTTCAACATGGGCGGAATCCAAGTGGACGCCGATGATATGTTGAAAAAGCTACGGGTAAGCACCCGACCAGCGCGGCATCATCCCCCTCCCCAACCCAGGACATAGCTAAATATTACCCCCAGGACCGCGAGGCTAGCCGAACCCTAAAGAAAGAGAGCCCGTATGCAGGCACGGGCGGCAATGATGAGAAAGCGCACAACCAAGCCCTGGCGAACTTCTTCGCTGGTCTCGTCAAGAAACCTGGGTCCAGTCCCCGTGGCAGCCCATCGGCTTGATTCATTCTTTTCTCACTGTATTTTAGTTCTTTGTGCGTACATAATACAGAGGCCGGAACTCTCGCTCTTGGCGGTGGGCTGGGTGGTTTGATATATGGAGATGAAAGAGCTCTTGGGAGTCCTTTGACTGTGAAGGGGAGGCGTCGCTCTGCTATTACCCTGGCAGTGTAGGTCCCATGGCTTTTCGGCAGGTGTTAGATAATGATACCAATATGAAGCCTGTGATTTGTTATTCTAAATGCCTTCCCAGCAATATGAAGGACGAAACAGTACTGAAGTAGATGTCCTCTGTGTTGGAGTTATAGATGTTAAGCACAGCTCCAAAATGCTTCTTAGTAGAACTAAAAGTTTTTTTTTGTATTCTAATTTGCTATTATTTGGTACCGTACAATTCTGACATAGATAGACAATATAAAATCCAGAGCAAGAGTAATCTTCAACCTTCAAATTTTACTCAGCTCCCTTTCCACACTCACCAGTTCTCCCACACGGCATCAGGCAAAACCTTGCGCATGATAGCCCAGTGCTTGAGCGCACTGCGATCCTGGTACTTGTGCAATCTTCCGACCTCCTTCGCCACCAGAAGAGATCTGCCGTTCTTGGGCCAAGACGCAAACATGGCAGGGTCCAGTTCATGCTTGGGGACAAGATAGCTTTCACGAGACCTGCTGCGCAGGAAGTCCGCCGGGACAGGGTCACGGAATTGAATCGGTGTGTTGGAGCTCTTCTTGCAGAACAGAACCATGTTGGTGAAGTCGGTATCTTCGTCCTCTCCGGCGGGTTCTTCGCGGAAGATGCGGCAAGATGGGAAGACGGCCTTGATGGTGCGGACGACGAGACCGGTTGGGTAGAGGGTCAAGTCACCGGCATAGTTCTGGGTTTTATTCGTTAGTGTGTGGTTAAACGGGGGGCTTGTTTCTTGGTACGACTCACAATGGCAATGGCACCGTCTTCCTTGAGGAGAGAGTGGAGGCCTGTCAGGAACTCGTATGTGAAGAGTTCGGCGGGCTCGGCGCCTCCGGTGAATACATCATGGACGATGTAGTCATACTGAGGTGTGTTTGGGGCGGCCTCTGCCTTCTTGACGAATTTTACGGCGTCTTCAATAACGGGGATGTGGTTTGCCGGAAGGTTGAAATACTGAGTGGCGAACCTGTGCACCACAGGGTCGATTTCGACGATGGTAGTTTCAATACCATGTTTGATGAGTGCAGAGGGTGTTGTGCCAATCCCAAGACCACTGTTTTCTGTCAGTAAACTGGGCGATTGATGCTTTTTGTGGGATTCTTACATGACCAGCGCCTTGCTGTCTGCGTCAACGCGGGGAACGCCATGATCCGGCTCAACCAGACGGACAGCCTCGAGCATGGCAAAGATTGCGTAGATAGGATCTTCCACCTCAGGCCGGTAGCCTGGTGCCAGTCTGGTCCACTGTCCACCGAGCAGACTGTGATCGCAACGCATAACCCGGAATCCGTCATTCATATTTTCCAAAACAGAAATGTATCCAGTGTAAGCTTCCTGTCGTGCCAAAAGAGAATAACCCTCATGCTCAATTGCAGAATTGACACCACTGATTCCAGCGAAATGGACGTTTGAGGTCACTGAGAAAATTATAGAGGGAATGGCTAGGACTAGCCATTTCGAAGGGATGAGCGCAGCGTAAGCGGCTGCGAGGAGCATTTGCATACCAACTCTGGTGAAAAAAACCGAAGACCCAACAATCCATGAGAGAACATATTGGGCAATGTGATCACCAGCTGAGTAAAACATATATGTGCCTATCAAGGGCACATGCTCAACGATCACGTCGCCCTGCGATTCGAGTCTCAAAGCAGTCTGGATTTGCTTTCCAGCATAGGCGACGGTCAACAGCACCAGAGGATAGTAACCACAAAGTTCCGTGATCACTGGGCCTGTGGGATTGCCAATTTTAGAGCTTTGCTGCTTGATAAAGTACTGGAGAGTCGGAACCCAGAAAGCCAACACAGGGAGCATGAAACCACCGAGACGGCCCAGGCGCTTGAGAATCTTATCTTTCAATAGCCATCCGACTCCGCCGGAGATGGCGACTCCAAAATTATGGAAGATATGCGCAGGGAAGGATCCATATGTTGGAGACAAAACCAGCTTCGAAAGGGGCGAGTAGAAAGCAAGCAGGATCAGCAAAACCACGCCGGTAATGAACCGGCGGGCATCAATGTGCCGCAACATGTCCTGGGGAGACATGATTTCCAGCTGATGCAGTTCTGGATATAAGGGGAATCAACCAAGATAGCGCATCTGCAAGCTTGTTAGCAATCTGAAACTGTGTCCTTGTCTCCTTTTCCCCCGTATTGCAATGGACATCCAATGAATAATAAAAAATGTACTTTGAATCAAATCCTCAACTTACACGTTCAAATAAGATACATATCAAAATAATCTTCAACGAGAAAAAAGTTAATGCGGAGATGATGGCACTTTTGCCGCCGAGCTCCGCGTTCCCAACTTCGTTTCTTCTCTCCACCTCCACACTCTGAAACACACCAAAGATGCCACATTTCCCTAAGGATTCCGGGTTTACGGTCAAAGATGCGTCCAGCACACAAAAAGCTGTCACAGTCAAAAACCGTCGCAAGCGGTATCTGGACTTACACCCAGAATACTTCTCGGCGGGGCTTGAGCTAGCCGGTCCGCCTGCTCTCTTCTCTCCCATTGCCAGTTGATTATTTTACACATTTTCTGGCCTGGTTTATTGCTGGTGCCAGCTGGCTTCGCATATAGAAGCAAACAAAAAAAAAACACAATGCTAATCCTGGTTGACTTCTCCGCAGATCCGTTACTATACGATCGCCTCATCCGCCGATTCCAAACAACGCAAGAAAGAGAGGCCGAGGGGCGGGCGAAGGGGTTCTCAGGTGTCCTGGAGACTGACCTCCTGCGGTCTGAAGCCAAGATGGATGCGATCTCACACCCGGATCCTAACGCTATGATGAGCTACACTCGCGGCCCAGATGGGGAAATCCTGGCCGAGGACCGTGATGAAATACCCCCAAATAAAGAGGAAGGCGAGCGGCTCTGGCGGTGGGAGATGGGATTGCGTTTCATGCAGGGCAATGACTCTGATTTCGATTACAAGACCGTTGATGAGAATGACGACTACGATGATCACACGGATGAGCAAGACCAGTATTTTGAGGATGAAGAGCCTGAATGGGTGGTTGACGGCACTCGCGGGGACGACGCTCGCCCAGATCTCCAGGGCGAAACAGGCATTCAGGATTTCTAGATTCAGAGAATCTTGGTGCACATGTTCCAGAAACGTTGGCTACAGCGAAGTTTCCTCACTGGCTACACGTTATCCTATAAACTATTGCTCGTGGTGGTCTATCTGACATCACTCGGCTACCTCTGAAATATCCCGCCCTCGGAAAGCCGCAAAATACGGACTTGACACTACGAGTCTCCTACCCCATCGACAGCTTCGTGTTCGCCGTTGGAATGTGGATGTGTCGGCACGATCCAAAGTGTCCGTAATGGCCGCTGGTTGGCACGAGTTGCTATCCTGAGAGACAGCAGGTGCCCACACTGGCACTATTGTTGAAAACTCTCCGTTGCTATGAGGACGTTCCTAGGTTCATCCTATTCAGCCACTGACTCTTGTCACTTCAGAGTGAAGACACCACTTGGATCTTCACCTGGCTTCCTTGTATGATACTACATTTATGGCAGTGCTCAAAACGAATAGTATCGATGTATCTACTCAGGCTCGTGATTTAGCCTTCCAATGATCATATGACAATTCTATCTAATGAGCAATGAGACTTGAATAAATCAGTATGTACAAACGTACCAGGCACTTATCCATTTAGAATCTGTGCAAAGTCAGGCCTCGGCCTTGTATGCTCGCTATTCATGCAGCGCTTTTGGCTAAAAGTGCAATGGCCTTCTCCCTAAGCTTAAACTTCTGGATCTTTCCACTCGCTGTCTTGGGGAAAGGCTCCAAGGGGCCCAAAAAGAAGACATGCTTCGGAACTAAGCAAATAAAACATTAGTTCGGTCCATAGGACAATTATTAGGATGATCGAAGACCAGCTGCAAACGATGTAAAACGATGCAGTAGTCTGGGTTATGACTTACCAAGATGATTGCTAAGCTTTTCACGCACCCATTGCTGAATATCCTCAGCAGTGACTGCATTTGAACCGTGGTCCCGAGGAACAACGAAAGCAGCCACTGCCTCGCCATATCTCACGTCGGGGACGCCAACGACAGACACATCTGCAACGCCATTGTTGGCCAGCAAGCAATTCTCGATCTCTAGGGGGTGTATATTCTCGCCACCGCGGATGATCAGATCTTTGATCCGTCCAGTGATAGTGATATATCCATCTGGTGACATGGAAGCTTCGTCTCCAGTCTAAAACCACAGGGTCAGATAAAAAAACTTTACTGGAAATAAAGAATGGAAGATTAGACTCACATGCATCCACACCTTGCCAGAGTCATCTGGAATCATCACCTCCGCGGTCTTTACTGGATCGCCCCAGTATTCCTTCATCAGCAGGTACCCGCTCACTGCCAACTCACCCCGTCTCTCTATAGGCAGAATATCTTTCTTGTCCACCGGGTGTACGATCTTTGCCTCGACATGTGGCATGAGCTTTCCGACAGAGTAGATCCGCTTATCAATGGGATCATCCGTCGTTGTCATAGCCGAGACGGGGCTTGTTTCCGTCATTCCGTAACAAATTGTCAATTCGGTTAGATTCAGTACCTTGTGCAGTTTTTTCATTATCTCAGAAGGTATACTGCTTCCAGCAGCGATGCCCGTGCGAAGATGCTGGAATCCTTCGCGGGAGATTTCTCCCGTCTCGATCATGCTCAGCTCCTCGAGGAACATCGTCGGTACACCATGCAGCGCGGTACATTTCTCTTCTTGAACAGCCTCTAACGCAGCACGAGCATTGAAAGATTCACTGGGGAAGACGATGGCCGAGCCGTGGGTTGCTGTCGCCATATAGCCTAATATACCGCCGAAGCAATGAAACAGCGGCGGTGGGCAACAGACAATGTCATTCGGCGTGAGAAGCATGCGATCGCCGATCTGAGAGCCGTTATTTAGGATGGAGCGGTGGGTGAGGCATGCTGCCTTGGGCATTGATGTGGTTCCTGACGTGAACTGGATATTCACAGTTTCATCTGGAGAGAGATTCTGAGGAGGAAGCGGGCGGCCGTCTGCAGTAAGCTGGGACATAATGGATGCATACGGCGTCAAGCTTCTATAGGATGATATATCCACGCGGCCTTCAGAGTTGTCGACCATAATGATATTCTTCAGAGAAGGGACCAATATGGACTCCAAGTTTGGCTTGTGGAGGTCTTCAACAAGGTCATCGAGTAACGGAACATTGCTGCGTGGTTTTTTCCGAGGCAGATTGGACTCTGTGCTGATTAAAAGATGACTGGCTTCCAGGTGGCCCAGGGCTGCAATCACTTGTGCAGTATTGAAAGACGGATTGAGCGGAACCTATCAGATTATTAGACACGATGTCGCATACCACAATGAGCGGGCCGACTTACCAGAACGGCACCAAGTTTGAATAACGCGTATGTTGCCTGGTCACGGATATTAGCCTTGTTGTCTTCTTCCTAAACATTTCCATTAATACCCAACGTACCACGGCGTATTCCATCGAGTTCCCAAGCATGACTCCAACCCGCTCCCCCTTCCCAATACCCAGTGATTCCAGCCCCCGAGCGAGAGCATTGCTTCTTGTGTCTAAGGAGGCATATGTTGCTCGATCATTCTGATGTCTTGAGACAACACTAGACAGTATAGTCAGCGTCTAGTCTCAATTGTACCTTGCGTCACGGTTCTCACGCTGTTCTGTCTCCGCATTCCGCGACAATCTTGGCGAAATGATCCCCAACTGTGGACTCAATCAAGGGCGGCTACATAGAAAGCAATATGGTCAGATAAATATTGCTTCACAACAATCGTGTTATTTCCAATTGTTCTTGGACAGAGAATGCTCACATCAGATGGCCCCCGCGCATAGCTCTGTGTCAGTAGTCCTCTCTTGACCAAGGATGCTTGCTGAAGGACTCTCTTTCCTCCAAACATGGACTTCCGACAGGATGTACGGCCTCTCAGGCCAAGCCCCGTGAGAATTCCGCTGTAGCTCATGTTTTTATTCCAATGCTAGCTTGACCAAGGTCTCATGACTCTACCTGAGGGCTGCAATTGACTGTATCGACCGAATAGGGCACTGCAATAGGTAGCAATTAAAGTAATTCAAAGGGGTTTGGAACCATTGAAGAGGGCAAGGGCGGAGTAGGTCCGCGGAAAGTATAGCTTTCCCCGCACGCCCAAAACTGCGGGGATGCCGAGGAACTACACCCTATCACGTTCCAAGGTTTATACCAGTGAACACTACGTGTTTCCTACAATAATATGCATTCAAATAAAATAAATCAATGGTCTATTCAATGCTTTGCTATCAAAATCAGTTCTCAACTCCAAAATGCACAACCTATCGGAGGATTAGCCTATTCCTAGTCAGTCCCAGAGCCATCGCAGTGTCCGCATAGACAGTCATAGTCTGCGGAGTTCCAGTACTTATCACCGTAGCTAACAGTGATCTCTTCAAAGGGCAGAATATCACGAATAGCTTCAACTGTGCACACAACTCGGTTTCCAATGGTGCGAGTCGTGAACTGCGTCGCGGGCCGGCACGAGTGGCCAATATAACGGGTCCAGTTACCAAACTGGTGGGGGCAAATTACACACAAAGCGCGAGCTGTACCGGCATCCGTAGTGGGTTTGTCGTCGGTTTGCGTCAGGGGATAGACCACCTCTACGGATTCGGGAAGGAGCTCACCCATGAATATATCGAGAATATCTCCGCGCTCGAATCTCGTCAGCGCTCGAACACCAGTACCCGTCTCGGGGTATTCTCTCAGCTCAACCAGTTCTCCTGCCCGAGATGTCAAGCGGCAATCACAAGAAACAGTGCTGCCGCATAGAGTGCAATCGCGCCCGACGTTGATCGGACTGCCATTCGGCTTGTGGCGAAGCGTCGGGTCCTGTTTCTGACCACGCCACTTCTTGGGGTCATAGATACTCTCGTTAATGTGTTGCTGTAACTTGCCGTTGTAGGTGGGCTCCTTCAACTTGCCGTCGAGTGTGATGACAGTGTGGTGAGGGTGGTCGACTTTCCACTCCATGTATTTCTCGATCTCGGGCTTCATATCTGGCAGGCCTAGGATGGGGTAGTCCTGGTAGGTCCAGATAATGTTACGCCACTTCAGGGTACGGCTGTGCGCATAAAGTTCAATACTCAAGAAGTTTTCCTGAATCTTCTGGAGGAAGAACCCCCAGGTTCTATCGTTGGCTTCTTTGATACCTCGTCGGAATGCTTCGGCATGGGAACAAATAGCAAACATCTTCCATCCGAGCCCAGTAACGAACTCTAAAAATCTGCTGTTAGGTGTGACGGGTTGGAACTCACCACGTTCCGCCTCGAAGGATTTCACGCAGGACATGTAGTAGCCGATTTCCCGCTCGACAAATCCTTCTGTGAAGACAAGCAAGTTGGAATATGTCTCTTGACAACCGTAAACTTTCTCTTTCGCAAGTCTCTCAAGGTTGCAGTAGGCGTTGATGTCATGGTACACGGCAAGGAGGATATCGGTAGCTTCCTTGTTTGCCGTCTGGTTCAGTGATGCTTCAGAGCCCCAGGGTGGGAAAAGCTTGTTGAGATCGACGGGAGAATGGGGAGCCTTGTTGGCAGTCTTCCTGTTGGTGGCTTTCTTGTTTGCAGTGTTGCGTCTCGGAGCCATTGTGGTAGCTATAGAATATAACAATTTATGAAGGCTTGTAAAGGTGAAAGTGAAGTGTTGGATGCTGGATGCTGGATGATGTGTTGTTTAGAATGTGTGTGGAATGATTATCTGGCGCGGAAGAGAGGGGTCTTTATATTCGCTCGCGTCGACTCGCATACAGCCCAAGCATTATGCACTGCTTTGTTTCAATCATAAATAGTATTGTAGTATAAAGACCCGGTGTAGGCCATTCAAACTCCTGAAAGAAAGATAATGAGTTCTCGAAATATTCATATATCCATTGTGGACGTGAACAGGTCCGACAGATGAGCCTTGGTAAACTCGAAACAGGCTAAGAACTGAAAGAAATGCCCGAGACTAGCCAAGCATGTATATTTTAGGCTCAAAGAAGTGAAGAACCGAGGCAGGGTGAGGACAAGGGGAAGCACAAAAGGAAGTACAAAGCGATGCAAATACGGAGTACAGGAATGACGCTTGGCGTCATGTGGTGGGGAAGCTCCGTTGCGACACTTTGTCTCTTTCTCTTTTCCAACTCTTCTGCTTTCATTTGCTTTGTTCTATTTGCTTTTTGTATCCCTGTCATGCTTGTACATTGATCTATTGATTTTTACTTTCAGCGCAGAACCAGACAACATGGCCTCCGAACCGACCGAGGAAGCTATCACCAGCTTCGTCAGCTTCACAAGCACGACACGCGAGCAAGCCATCGCCTTCTTGAAGGTACGAGACTGCCACTGGGTTGACAAAAATATCTCAGCTAATTTATTGCGTACAGGGAAACAACCTGGACTCCCAGAAAGCGATCAACGCGTACTTCGAAGATCCGACAGGGTCTCAGCTAAAGGTAAATTTGGCGACGCGCAGCAAATCCTAGCTATGATCTGACACCTCAAAGCCGATAACTAGTTACTGGAATGACAACAGAGGCTCTTGTAAGATCACCTCCCTTATGCGAACTCGGTTTAGGAATTAACATACCCCGCCCCAGCATGGGATTTTGCCCAACAAGACAATGCGCCACCAATGCCAGCAACAGCACCGCCCTCTCGTCCTCCTTCCCGAACAGATATACGCGACCCGGAACAAAATACTGGATATCAAGATTCTGTCGCGACCGCTCCGAAAGGTATCACAGTCTTGACATTTCAATTGCAAGAGCTATACTAATTTGCGGTTATTTGACCATATAGAAGGTTCCGGACAAGGTCTCAGTCTGGCGGAACGCGAAGAAAAGGAATTGCAGCAGGCGGTTGCTATGTCATTGAATTCGGACATAGGACAGCAGGAAACCGGAGTGACATTGAATAAACAGCCGCAATTCAACAAAGCAACCCGGGACCACTACGAAGAAGGTGCTTGGGCGATGACCCTATTCAACACATCCTCCGAAGAAGTCATGATTAGCCCAGACCCAGAAGACCGCAAAAGAGTGGAGGGCGAGCCTGCGTTCATCCGCCCCAACCCTGACGGCATTTACCTAGGAGGGCTCTTGACAATTCTTCATAGTATTCCCCTCGCACGAGAAGCGTTGCTCTTGCGGAACAAGCCGCTATTTGACTACGGTCATGAGCCGCAGTGGTGGAACGGGCAACCGATTAACCTGCCAAAGATTGTCACGGTGAATGATGGCAAGACCGGGGATAGCGACTGGGATGATATCATTCATGAGACCCAGCGACTGATGGCTTTTATGGACACCACGAAACGTGCTTTTGGCAGCAGCGACAGCTTGGCAAAGATCAAGAGCATGTCATCGTTATCGGCAGATTCGGAGGAGGTCGTCACCAGGTTTTTGGAAGCATGGCATGGTGCAGCCATTCAGGCAGATCCTGAAAATCCACTGGCAACCATATTCACGTCACATGCATACAAGAAAGAACCTTTCGACGAGTTTGCTGAGCCCGATACCAGGGAGCTCTTCGCTTTTGAGCCTCCTGTTGAGCAAGACAATGACCAAACGCTCTATGACGTTTTGGATTCGGCTTTATGGTCTGATAGACCGGGGAAGGAGCTTGACGACGCATGGCTTGAACACTTAGCAGAGGTGCTAGTCATTAGACTCGATGCTTTTCAAAAACCAAACCCTGTGGGTGTGGATATTCATTCTGTGTTCTATCCCGATCGGTATCTTAGCAGCTGCCGAGATTTTGCTCGTGAATTTCGTGCAAAACGACAGCAGATACAGGGAGATGTGTTGAGACTCGAGCAACTCATACATCGCTATACCATCCCACGGGACCCTGTGGGGGGCTCGACGATCACGGAACTCCTTGAACAAGCTGCCCAGGCGGTGCCAGTGGTTGCGCCAGAGCAAGTGAGCGAGTTCGATCAGTCCAGCTCCGGAGTGGCAGCTACAGCGACGATGCGAGTTGCAGAGGAATTGAGAGCAATTGCCACAAATATAGAAGCCAAGCTCAAAGGTAAAAACAGCCGTTACTACCATGCTCATATTGTTGGCTAATAATCCGAGCGCAGAACTGGAACTTAGAAAGCAGAGTGCCATGGACTCTCTCCGTGAGATATCAAAGACACTTACCGAGCCTCCCAAATCACCTTCCGAGCCCCCTGTCTACAAGTATACGCTACGAGGCGTATGCACTGAACCGCATGTGACTTACGTTTTATCGAATCCCAAAACGACTGCCCCAGGACATTTGATGGATGTGGACTCGGACACTGAAAACAGCAATGACTACCAGTGGTTGCGTATCAGCTTCTCAGCGGAAGATGGAAAGACCCGACAAGCCGAGAAACGAAAGGCCCAAGGCAACACTGCAGTCACACAGGATGGCGAGGTTGTTGGCTACACTATTCGGAAAGTTCAGGAGGTTGAAGTCCTCAAAGCCGCTCGGGAAGAGTGGAATTCTGTCTTACTCGTTTATGCGAGCGAGAATGCAGTGAATGCCCAAGTGGATCCTGCGCCGTCACAGCTTCAGGTAAAACGCAGTCTTTTTCATATTGTTTACGAGTTCCCGGCTAACGGAATACAGGGCTTCATGAGTAGAGACAACGAGGCCTTTGGGGGCGAATTCGAGAATACCCCTACCATAATCTTTAGTGACCAGGAAGATTCCTGGCCGGAGTTGAACAACGCGGAAACCCAGCACAAAGAACAGCAGCCTGAAATGATAGAGAAGGCCACACAGGTGAATGTCTTTGACTACGAGGTCTCCGGGTTCGACGACGAACCAAAGCCCAGCCAAGAGATGCAGGAGAAGGGTGGAGTGAGTCTCTTGGGTCACCGTGCCGCCACAACCAACTCTATGGCGCCCGCTGCCTCGCAAGTGGATTCAAGGTGGAACGATGCAGATGATGAGGAGATGACACGTCATCTTGAGCACGCGAAGTAGCATTGAATGAAGCATGCGGGGAAGCCTATGAATAATGAATGATGAATATGTAGATACTGTAGAGCAATGTCAAGATTCGGCCATATGCCAAATGATTGTAATGAACCCCTAAGTCCTAAGTATCGATCTAGTATGAAGAATTTCATACTACATAGTAGACAGATCCTTATATAACCCTCCCGAGGTCAAATGTACATATGTACAACCTTGGAATATTGTACACTTTTTGTACAGCTGATAAGCTTGTCCCCACATTTTGCCATGTTTGCACTGACCTCACCAAGCTCCTGACACTATTTTTCAGTCACCCCCCTCACAATTCCCCCAATTGATCTTTGATCCCCATAGACCATGGCCCTCGAAAGTGACGCAGTGGCCGGAGCCACCATCGAACTCCTCGAGGCGCGCCTACGCCGCCTCACTTACCTCCTCACCGGCGCCACAGACTGGACCGGCGTCCCTACCACCCCCGAAAAGCCCACATCTCTCGAAGAGACAGTCTCCCGCCGACTCGCACGGCTAGAATCAGAATTAGAACGGCTTAGCCGGGGTGTCCCAGCCGTACGGGACGTTCTACAACTCCGTATGTAACCAGTATCAATGTTATTTACACGCGCATTATCACCACAACACACCCCCTCATCTCTTACCCTCTCCCTATCTAAATCCAGATTCCTAATATCTGCATACTGGACTCTCAACTATCCACCTAAAACCATCCCATTCAATCTCATACTAACACAAACCAACCAGACGACCGCAACCCCGACCTCTTCAAAACAACACCACCCCACCAAATCCCCGAAGGCCTCACAACCCAAACCCTAGCCTCAATAGTCCTCTCCTATGCTACCGCTTTCCCTGAAACCGCCTCGCGGCTTACCTCACTAAATGACCTCCCCGTGCCAGACGCGCAGAGCTCCGCAGCACTAATCGACCTACAGCCACAGCTCGACCGGCTCGCGCAGACACAGAGCGAGCAGGCGGCTGAGATCTCGGAGCTGCGGGTGCGCACGGCGCGCGTGCTGCAGCGCTGGTATGATGTTGGGCTTGTTGGGAGTGGGGAGTGCTGGGCTGAGTGGGAGGGGAGACTGGAGGATGTTGAGAGGGAGGTTAGGAGGGGGGAGGTTGTTAGACAGGGAAGGGAGGAAGAAGTTTAGAGGGGAAGCTTCCCTAAATGCCTTGTTTCAGGTGGTATTCTGGAGAGGAGCTGGAGGGGTGTGATGCCTCTGGCTGTTGATATTGCTTTTTTGCTATGATACCTTTGATTTGGGCGTACGGTGTTTTTATCTTGAACAGCGCAGATGGGATACTCCCCAGTTTAACATACCTATGGAAGGATTCAATCAATCTACAACATACATGCGCATATGGATGTATGTTGGTATTTAACTTTACATCTGTGGATATGGGGGGAATATGATATCCAGCTCGGTCAAGTCAAGAATTGATACGTTTCAAGACGGAGCATGCAAAGGTATCCCCCAGGCCCCTCCTATATCAGGTGTCGCCATCTCGCACGTGAAAATTGTTTATGGTGTATTCCCCATTCCATCCCGACGGATTCCTTGGAAGGTGTGAAACCCAATTGGAATGCGCTAACCTACCCCAGATTCTTCACCCCGCAAACTGTGGTTGATGTGGAATCGGTATATTGACTACTAACTTGTTAGGGTTAGGATTGAGTTGCCTATGGATGATATCCACAGTTCGTGCTGTGTGTTAGCTAACATGAACAAGTCACCAACCCCGGAGTATATAACTAGTTAAGCAGAAATCATACATGTCCAAATGCAGTAAAATATGTATATATTCATAAAACCATAGCGCGGAAAACATGTCACCAATTTGGGGCTGTGGCGCAATTGGTAGCGCGTGGTAAGTTCAGAACAAATCTGAAGTCTATAAAACAACAACTAACAAATTTAATAGCGACTCCAGTTCGCAAGGTTATCTGGTCGAGACGGGTCAGCCTCATCTTCTTTTTTTTTCATCTTCATTTTATGTATTTTGATAATTTATCTTCACTTGTTATATCAATTGCTTATCTTTTACGGTTTTATATGGTTTTTATTTGTATTTTAGCGTTTTTTGTGGGAGAAAAGGCCAAGTACGTCGTTTACTCTCGCGATGCAAAATAGAGAGAAAATATTCACCAACTTGGGGCTGTGGCGCAATTGGTAGCGCGTGGTAAGTTCACCATGAACAATATCAGTCCTACGAAACAATACTAACGAATTCATTAGCGACTCCAGTTCGCAAGGTTATCTGGTCGAGACGGGTCAGCCTCATCTTCTTTTTTTATCTTTTTATAGACGAATATTCTTTGTTGTCTTCCAAGTCGCTTCCTTCTTCACTTATTTCTCTCCCTCAAAGTTTAGTTGATTTCTACACAATCTGTGCAAACTCTTTAGGTGGCAACAATCAAGGTTGTGCGTGACACTTTGTGTTGCCTTCGATTGATGCCTGAGGTGTCTAATCACAACGAAAGCCCTAGTTCCGCCGTAGTTGGTTAAATCACCATATCGTCCACTACTAGAGGTCGAATACACCCTTATTGCCATAATAGCCTAGTCACATAACAACTGGGCCATAGGACTCATACAGCTGCCTTGGCAGATCTGCGAGGGTCATTATATTGAGAAACGTAATCCCTGTAACCCGTAGAACCTCGCTCCTGCTCAGATACCTAGGAAAATATTCATGGTTTCAAGGTAGGAAGGTGCGACTTCAAGCAACAAAAGGAGGGCATCACAAGCGCCTCTTAAGATTGACTTCTGGGGTAAGAGTGCACTCTGTTTCCTGGACACACCTTTGAACCTCTCTCCCCCCTTTTCCCCTTCCCACTACACTCCCACTTGCCGCTGTGATCGTTATGAAACAGTATTAAGATGTCTCATTCTCCCATTTCTCCTTCTCTCTCTTTCATAGGGTCTGCTACTACAAGCCGTTTGGGGGCAGGTGGTGAGATCCTCGGAGCAGAATTGCCTTCCCTCGCAGGACCCCTTCATGTACGCCACCTGCGGGGGGACAGAGAGACTTTCCCTCCCCCTAAGAGGTCATCACCACCTCTTAGCGCTGCCCAGAAAGAGTCGCCTGGGATTACGCGTCCACGATCCAATAGTCATTCAGGTGCCTTTGTCCGAGCTAACGCTCCTCGGCAGCGACGACTATCAGAGACTTCATCCCGCCTAGCGCATATCACAGGTCAATGTGGTCTTCGCAGGGCCGTTACGAACATTGTTCTGGATCGTCTGGAGAAGGGTGGAGTGGATACCCAGAACATAGACCCCGTTTTGTTGAATCACTGCCTTCCGAATGATTCAAACAACATCTCTTGGGAGACAATCATACATACGCCGATTCAAGTTCCGGACCACATTTTGTCAAAAGCCCTCAACCTACGACTTGCGACAAACAGAGAGCTCCCCGAGAAAGAAGACCGAACAGTCATCTTATATGTGAGGTCCTTCCAATTGACCGTGAAACAGCTTTTGGATGTTATTGCGCAGTTCAATGATGCTGGGCTTGAGACCGCCACCACCGCAGCTTAGTCAGGCTGTATTGATTTCTTGAAGCCAGATGAAAGCGTGTATATCCGATACGTGGGGAGGACGGAAAGGTCTGCTCTTTTACGTCACAGACATGATCTCACTTTTCAGTCAATCAAAGTTGCATTCATATCAAAATTCCTCCAAGCTTTGGGGAGAACCCATCCATTGGTGGTTGATGCAGTGATGATATATGAGCTTCCAGGGGTATGTTTGCGACAATTTAGTGAGCAAAAAGAGCAAGCCCTCATTGCACTCCTCGATCTATCGTCTCTGGTGAACCAAAGAATCTGTGAAGCCCCTCAGTGGACATTCACACCAATTGAGTCTCACCGAAGAGCCTTTATCGACCTGGGAACCAATACCCATTCTTACCTGAGCTCCTTGGATTTCCAACTGATGGAAGATTGCGAGCCGATCTCAACCTGGGCAATGAAGATCCAGGAGTATACCAAATTGCACAAGCTTTCAGTTTGTCGTTCTGACAGACAGGTGTTAGAGTTCCCAGATGCGCTCCGTACGGCCATTTTTCGACAAGCCCGGCCCTCGCTCTTTCGTGGAAAATTTGTTTTGTTCTTGACTCTTGGCGCTGAGATGAGTCTCAAGGCATGGAGAAACACCGAAGGCTTCTACTCTGGAACAAGCAACTCGGCTACGCTAATCAAAAACTACTTGAAAAGGCTTTGGTGTTGGGAGAAAGGCGAGCCACTTTCTGACCAGCACTTGAACTTGTTGATCTCAGGGGGCACACTTCCTTTTATCAATCTTTCTCCGTGGTTGAAAGCCGAAGGAAAAGATCTCCAAGAGGCAGTAAGATTTGCAAAGATTTATACAATCTTGACCAAGCCCATGATAATTCTCACGCTGGGGGTCAAGCCTTCTTCAAGTGCGGCCTCTGGTTTCAATCACTCATTCGCCTACCCTGCATCCCAGAAGTTTGAGGCAAAGGTTGGGCAGCTAGAAGTGATTGACTGCGATGGAGTCTGTTTCATCCAAATTCCATGCTTTCACCCAGGTAAAGCAAAATTCTGTCGTAACCCTGAGACCTTTAGCAAGATATTTGATATGACGCTTTGGGTTCTTCTCTTCGCTATCAAGATTTGTCTCGATTCAGAAAAGACCTTTGAATCTCAACCGCGCGAAGCCTGGTGTCAACACATCAAGGTAACTGTCGAAGAAACTTTTGAGCGGAAGGGCTTCTACAGGTCATTCAAATTGTTGAAAGACAAGCTTCGCTCCGAAGGGCCGAGCCCCCCATCTAGTCTTGCTGTCCGAGGGCGAGCAGACTTGGGCATCGCGGCAAGATCAGTCACAGTACGTTAATTATCGAGCCTTATAATTCCCGACTTTAAATTGACATACTAAGATCTACTTAGGATCGATTCCTTTTCATTGGATTCGCGTTAGGCCCGCCACTGTCACTCCAACGAAGGCAGCAAGTTCGCACTTTATGGGATTCAAATATCCCAGAGCTGTATGAACACATCCCCCGTGAGAATAGGAATGCCTGGTGGGCGTGGGCTTGTTCGCTGGACGAAGGCACGTCGTTTTTCGCCGATGCCTCGGTGAGTACCGCCACAAAGCTCTTAAAGGCTGCGCAAGGACCGGATGTTTTCCTTCAGCGGCAGATCTCTAGGAAGTCGCAAGATTGTCTACGGAAATGTTCTCATTTATCTGTCTCGATCCGGCAACAGAAGGCTTCTGGGGTATTGGTGCCTTGGAATGGTCCTCTTTTGGGATTGCCAACACAAATGACGCCCCAAGAAGCCGTGAGCTTGTTTACCTCAAACCTATGCGATAATATGCGGCCATCGCAGGTGGCAGAAGCGCATAAATTAGCCCAAGGAAGAATTGTTCCCCAATATTTTCGCACTTGGAATGGGGGCGAAGTCTATGCTTGGAGAAATGGTGGCTTTGCCATCTATTGGAAAAATGGCCAGGGGCACGATATCACGTTCACCCTACGTCTGCCACTGTCAAATTTCGATCCTAGCCCTGCAGTGCGGAAATACATCTTTTTGTGAGTTGCAATATGCTCTAAATGACTTGACTGAAAAAAAGACTGATACATTTTTCAGCACGCCTCATGGAATCGACATACAAGACGAGACTGGAAATCCCTACCGGACCATGGAAGGAACTTTAGGATCGAAGAACCTAGCCACTTTTCCCGTATGCCGGCTAAACGACTGCCAGGACAATACGGCGATGGGACAGCAACTCATTGAACTATGGGAACAAGAGACAACATTATCTTGGAAGGCGACGATTGGTAACATAGCCTCTTCAATGAAAAATGGAAGCCCAATTGCCCAGAGCCATTTCGACGGACCGAGCTTAGGGCTGTTGCATTTGGGGTGGAAGAAATCAAGCCTGCTTGAACCCTACGACAGCCCCCCTCTTCCAGCAGACGCACTTTGGCTCCTCTGGATGTGCCTACGGGAATATTGGCCAGAAGGGGGTACCTTGTTCATTGGAGACCCTCTCAAATGGCCACATCGCACAGATAATTTTTGGAATAACTTTCGAGAGTATGTACTCCTTATCTTCATATAAATGGGGAAAACTTAGTGACACTAGCTGCAGGCTTTTAGCAAGTGGAAGATGTCGATATCACCCCCAATTCAACCCACTCAGTGCCTGGGCACACGATTTGGCACATTCAAGAAAAACCGCTCAATTGATACGCAATCTTGAAGTTATTTGTACTGTGTACTCACAGAAAAAGGTCCAATGCAGGGATTACGCACGGAAAAGAGCTGAAAACAAGGATGTGAAGATTGCGGGGACGGAATTAACTATCTCGGCGCCGCGTTTAGACATCTCTGATGTACAGGGCGCATAGAGACAAGCTCTCTAGGAGGTCTGAGATCACTACATCTTTACCTGCGGGCTGAAGTAAAAGAAAACTTCAGTTTAATAAGCGTCCTGAAAGGCCCCGTTCTTAAAGGTTCTAGACCGGAAATACACTCATCATGGATAAAGGTGGTTTGACTACAATTATCAAGCCTTGTACTTGGAAATTCTAGAGTGACTTTTCATGATAGCTTACATGTACCTAGCATGTACTAACTAACTAACTAGTTAACTAACTACCTGTATCAGACATCTATAAGTATGGTATATGGATTCGATAGTATAAATCATCCATACATCTGACAGAACGTGCTGCTTAGATGCGATCGAGGCTGGCTCGGTATGTACTTCTGTATTCGCATGTGCTTGTAGTTATCTGTCTCTCTTTTTTTTTCACAAGTAAATAAAATCAAAACGGTCCAGTGATACGGGCAATTTTCTTCTAGAAAAAGAAAAAAAGAAAAAAAAAAAAAAAAGAAGATGAGGCTGACCCGTCTCGACCAGATAACCTTGCGAACTGGAGTCGCTATTAAATTTGTTAGTTGTTGTTTTATAGACTTCAGATTTGTTCTGAACTTACCACGCGCTACCAATTGCGCCACAGCCCCAAATTGGTAATAATTTTTCCATTTTTAGGTCTTATGAACATGGACTCGTAGCATGGCCTAAACCGAGAGGACATCCACCCCCAGGCACAAAGCGGAGGTGACTAAGAGATATTTAGAGCGGATATTTATAGATTTGTACCAAATCAAGTCCCTTTTCATTGTTTATGTTAAGAGATGAATTAGAAAAGAAATAGGGTAATTTAAACAGTTTCAGATGATTTAGTCCAAACATTGTTGTAATTCTAACCCGATGAAATCCAGTAATTTCCATTCAAATTTCGTTAATTTCCTTTCCAAAGAATCGAGACCGTCGATTTCCAGGGGGGCCCGTTCTCCACAGCGTATCTGCCACTTTTCCTCCTTTTTATTATTGCTTCTTCTCTCTCTCTCTTCTCCTTCAACCTTCAATCTTATCCACTCTTTTTTTCCTTTTTTAACTTATTCTCTCTCTCTTGTTTCTTTCCCTTTCCCCCAGCCTGGTGCTGTTTTGCCTCTCTGTAAGGGGACCCTTCTTTCTTTTGCCTCCCAACCTCTTCACCCACGGATTGTCTCTAAACCCACTTCGGTTTTAGCAAGGTACTTTAATCCTATATCTTCCTACAATGTCATAGGCGCTTTCTTTATATCTGTTATCATAATTCATTGGCACATTTCATGCAATCACACCTGTCGTTCCCACACTAACTAACCACAGTCACTCCTTCCCGTCCGCCTCGTTCAGGACCCAACAATCAACAATCAACAACTCTTATATACAAGCACATCGCTCATCGCCGTTCCCTCTTTTTCTTCGACCATTCCATACCAATTTTATTCTACCCAAGCCTAACCCCGCAAATCCAACAAAATGGCCAAATTCCGGCCTAGCAACATCCTAGGCGATCCGTTCGCGCTCATGACCGTCTCGATTTCAATTGTTCGTTCGACTTTCTCCTACATGACCCGACCTTGACTAACATACAATTCTAGCTGGCATGGCTTATTGCTTTCATCTCATCTATCATCGCCGATTTGCAATCCGACTATCCCAACTACTCATGGTGGGCCATCTCATACATGTTTTGTGTCATTGTGGGCCTCATCACGACCTTTGGCACTGACACGGGCCACGTTTATGGCGTCGCGGTATGATGACTCTTCAATGCAGGACACTATAAGGCTCTGGTACTAACAATGTCCCCAGATCGTCGGTTACCTTGCCTGTGGCCTCGTCCTAACATCCACGAGCGCAAACAACCTGATCTACGGAAAACAAGCCTCCATGCAAGCAGCAGGCGCAGGCTTCATCCTACTTTCCATGATCATCATCATCTGGATCTTCTACTTCGGCTCCACACCCCAGGCCACCCACCGCGGCTTCATCGACTCCTTCGCCCTGAACAAGGAACAGCCCCCCGAGCCCTCCTACCGCGGCAGCCGCCCCATGTCCAGCGCATTCGGCGCCCGCCCAGATACCATGGCAACCAACACCACCCCGCAGATGTACACCTCCGCCCAACTAGGCGGGTTCGAAACCTCGTCTCCCGTCTCCGGATACCCCGGTGGCGCGCCCGGCACCGAACGATCCTCCTCTGCGCCTCGCTTCGGTACACCCAACCCCCCGACTCCCGGTAACGGCGAGCAAGAAGTGGGCGAAGTGCCCCAGCCAACAGACTACCCCTACCGGGCCAAGGCCATCTACTCATATGACGCCAACCCGGAAGACGCCAATGAAATCAGCTTCGCCAAGCACGAGATCTTGGAAGTATCCGATGTGAGCGGCCGATGGTGGCAGGCTCGGAAGCAAAATGGAGATACTGGCATTGCGCCCTCGAACTATCTGATCCTTCTGTGATCTCTGGTCCGTATGCATGATGTCTGTTTGTTCTTTTTTGTCCGAGTTTCTTGCCCTTTGTTCTGTCGCAAAATCTGTTCCCCTTCCCCTTGATACCCTTCGGATCCAACCTCGATGTGTGTGTATTTCTTTGGTTCCTTTAACGTGATGTCTTGATGGCCTCCTTCTGTTTTGTGTTGCATGCCCTTTCCCTTCTTGGTACGTTTTTTTCTTTTTGTGATTTGGGGGTTTCTTGGTTTTTACTCTAGCGGGTGGTTATCCCGCGTCTTTCCTTTATGCTCCTTCATGGTCGAGGTGCTATTCTCCATTGTCATGTTGGAATCGGGTTTAGAATTGGGGTCTGTGGATCTTGATGAAAGACTTATTTTCTACATGGAAGAAAAATAAACATGTGAGATGGTATCTATATGTTAGGATAGCGATGTCTTGACTTTAGAACAGTGCAATTCACTAGATTGTGCTCTACCTACTTTGTGTGGATATACGTACGTATGTGTCTACGTAATTTGTCGAATCCACCTGGACCCCCGTGGGGCCTTCCAAGTTCTAGAACACCCAGCCCTCTTTTTTGAGTACCTAATCGCTCACACATATTTTATGATAGGATGTACAACCCTATATCATCTCTAATATTTCCAAGGTTGCATCCGTTTAAGTTTAAATCATGAGATCCATGGATCGGACATGTCAAGTGGAAGTGGAAGCGGAAGCGGGTAGCCACGTGTTGTATGTGGGCCGGAGAATTGATGAACAATAGACATAATGCGGTGGCATATAGGGTATTGTATCTGATATTGATATTCACATAGTTTCAGTCTATAAGTATTTATTAGATCTATATCACCTGGTTTCCAACTAATCGTTAACTTATATAACTTCTCTACCTGCCCGCCCCCGCCCCAGATCCACCCCGCTGGTTGTTGGTTGGGTGCAATCAACTATCAGAGACAAAATGCAAATGCAATGCACAAGAAAACACAAGAAACAACGCTGTATATTTTATAGCTCTAAACCCCTTATCCAGACTTCCTTCTCTATCGATTAACCCATCTGGTCTTAGTCCATAAGCCTAAATATTCCCCCTCCTCCAATAGTCAGCAAATCCCATAGGCTTGCTCTGGGGCTCTCGAGCCCAAAGACTACAAACCTAAAGCGGGGAGATTTATATTTAGTGAACGACCCTGTCTGCTGAAAATCAGTATCAATATCCCTAGAAACCATATGCTGGTTTCCACTTCTTCTCCTTCTTCTTCTTCTTCTTCTTTACTTCTTCTTTACTTCTTCTTTACTTCTGTTCCCCCAGGTATACTAAGCCATAACGCTCACTCCAGGCCTACGAAGTAGGCAACATGTTCCCCTCCCACATAGGCCAATGCGCTAATCATGAAGATCCATCGACTAGACCAGCCAAGTCCTGCATCAAACGTCAAGACTTCACCGCTGCATTGCATTCACCCAAGCTTTCTCCTTTCCCCTTGTCATTTCTTAGTCTGGTCTTGGTTTATTCTGCACCGTACTTATCAACCTGCATTCTGTATGTCCATTCCACCAATAACCGGTCATTAAACTTCACTCCACCTCGATACTTGCCTGCATCTTCTTGCGGTAGTCACTAAGCCGTGACTAGCTTGATTAGTTCAAGCGCTACTGTGTGCATAAGAAGGGAACTAAATCCTCTCACTGATTCACAATCACAATTCTAAATCTCCGATTATATTTCCGCTGCTTTGAGCGCTAGTTCTTGGTTTTGTGGGCTGCTTAGTATAAGTACTAGCACGCCTCGTCGTCTCTGGTTGTTATAGTGGATCTCTACTCTATCTCTGGAATATTTATCTTGGATATATTGTGTGGCCACTGCAATCTGCAATATCATTGTCTGAATTCATCGCGCTGTCATACGCATGATACACCTCGCTCTCATCAACAATGCCCTCAGAAGACAATATCACACTGGCATCGAACGTCCTCGGCACCATCGGGACAGTTCTCTGGTGCATCCAACTCATACCACAGATCTGGTATAACTGGCGCCGCAAAAACACAGATGGATTGCCCGCGATGATGATGTTTCTCTGGGCAAGCTGTGAGTTTTGTCTCTGTTTCTTCGTTTCATGGTATTTGAGGGCTTCGGTTATTTTTCGAGTCTATTGATATGTGGGGAATATGCACCCAAAAGAGGAAGGAGGAAGGAGGAAAAATAAAAGAAAGCTTCAATATTGTTATAGGCTTTGCTCACAAGTATGATTCATGCAGGCTCCGTTCCAATGGGCGCATATCTGATTCTGCAGGTGAGTTGGATTGCCCTAACGACGAGGGTTCTTGTCTAATGATTTCGATCTTGCTTTGCATTTGTATATTTCTGACCGCTATCTTTATGGTTCTTGATATAGCAAGTCAATATCCCGTTGCAGATTCAGCCTCAGATGTTCGGGTTCTTTTCTCTTGTTGGTTGGAGTCAGGTTCTTTATTATAACCAGTGAGTTCCTGCTGTATGAATTTGTTGTGTTCGCATTGCTGATCTCTGTTCTTCAATTTTAATAGTAACTATAGCAAAACCAAGGCTGTCCTGGTATGCTTGGGCACGGTTGTTTTATTTGGGGGATTGGAGGCTCTTCTCATCCTGACATTGAGGGTATTCATTTTTCTTTCTATTACTTTGTGGAAAATGGAAAATGAGTAACTAATCGAACTCGACAGATTCCATATAATAACGGTGTGACATGGCCCGACATCGTTGTTGGGGTTATAGCCGCCATTCTCCTTACTGCAGGACTGCTGCCGCCGTATTTTGAATTATGGAAGAGAGATGGGCGTGTAATTGGCTTCAGTGGGGTTTCCTCTGGTTTGCAGCGCTTGATGGACGACTGCTGACGTTAGTAGATTGGGTCTTCCTCTCCATCGACACGTTTGGCGGACTATTTTCTCTCTTTGCATTAGGTAGGAGCTGCTCTACCTCCTGGCAATATCTATAACAAAATATCTGACACATTTCCATTATAGCGGCTCAAGGCTCATTTGACATCCTTGGAGGCGTTATGTATGTTTTGGTGGTAGTTCTCGAGGCGGGGATATATATTAGCCATATTTCCTGGCGAATCCGCTATCGCAAGTTGCGCAAGGAAGCAAAAGATTCAGGGAAAACCATTGATGATTTGCTTTTACTGAGGAGGAATGATACGCAAGAAACAGTGGATGTTGAAAAGGGCATTCTTCCTGCTGCTCCTGCAGCCAGTCCCTCTGCATAGCTAGCGTCCCATCTCATACCCAAAGCCATTATCACATACGGCCAGTGCTTCCTCGTCCATTATCGCAGCCAGTGTCTTATTGAAAATGCTTCCACCTACGTGGGTCTTCCGCATCACCGACCAGGTAACCAGTGAGTTCGCACAAGCGTTTACACGCATTCCTCAGTGCCCCCACATAAGTCCTTTTGCACATCACCCGCCAGGTCAAGCCTTTTTACCACCACTAGATCTAGCATCGTGGGAAACGATGCCAGTTCGTCCCGTGCACATAAAACCAGCGTTCTCACGCAACCGCAATCGCAGAATTACCCCATAGTGCTCTCACAACTTCAAGATCTCATCAAACCATCGGTTTCTCATTCATCTTCTATCAAGAATCGTCTTCACGATGTCATCCCCATCTTCCGGTTTTAAAGAGCTTTCCTTCCTACCCTCACCATCACCCCCAACTACAAGACATGATTAGCCAGCCTTCGGTGAGCTCTCAACTTCTCGATATGAACTGCTTAGTAGATAATACCTCCATACCTCGTGGGGGTTCATAACGTTCGGGGGCTTTCACAAGATCATGCTATGATCGTGGGAGGTGTTTGCACTTCTATAGCTCTCCCTCGTGGCCCAGATCTTCCTCCATAGCATCAATAACAATCTGTATCTTCATACACTTCGTCATCCTTTAGCCGCTGTAGCATCGCATATGTAGGTTCCGAAAGCTTAGTCTAAGATTGTTTACGATGGGCGATGGCAGTCTTCAAAATTCAAAGGTTACGTGAAAAATGGTTTAGAAAAGTTCTTGATCATTGCACTTTTTTTTCAAAAAAAAACCAACAAAAGAGAAAGTTAGCAATCGATTGATCCTACCCAAAAGCATCTCGGCAACTTACTTCAGCCGAGAAGGCCGGCCAGACGGTCCCACACGCCGTTGGAGCGGGCGGCGGGCGCCGCGGGGCGCTCAATTGCTGCTGCAAGCTGTTCAAAATTCCAAGTCAGACTTGCACGCGGGAGAGGGAAGTGTGGGGTATAGTTATCTTACAGCAGCGGTCGCCGCAGCGGACCGGGTGGAGGCAGCCTGGCGGGCGGCCTGGTCTGCCTCCACCGCGGCGGCAACTAGGTGCCCGATGGTATCATCGGGGGGTTCGGGGGCCGCGGGGGTGGCATGGAGCGCATTGGCCTGTTATACTCAAGTCAGTGCTGCACAAGCAAACATAGAAAGCGCACGTTGAAGGCAAGGCACATTGTCCAAGACAAGACTTACTCTTGCGAGGCAGCGTTTCTGCGTTGCGCGTTCGCGCTGCCGCGCTATGAGAGCATGTTGGGCCGAAAAAAGAAAACTTGATAGCTTGAACGTGGGAAGAAAATAGAAAGGAAGGGAAGTTTGAGAGCAGTGGGAGAAGGGCTTTTATAGAATTACGTGCCTTCCTTACTGGGAAACCACCCTTGGGCCTTCCACTCTAAGATCATTACTATGTATATTGAACTTGAACTTGAACTGCACTTGAACTGCACTTGAACTGCACTTAAACTAAGAGTGAAATAAGAGTGAGAGTGAACTGAGAGTTCAATTGGCTAATCAAAATTGCGAGGATATTGAAAATATAAAACTTGGCTGCACCAGAGGACTGTCGTCCGCGCCCACCGACTCCTGAGCGACGCCCCTTCGAAGGCGTTCAAGGGCAGCCTAGAGAAAGTGATCCAGCTTCAGAACAGGAACTACAGGCTCTGCTAGCCTCAATGGAGATCCAACGAATCCAGCAACAAACCCAAGATGAGCTAGCACATGAACATCGTATCAGAGTGAAGACTGAGTAGATGGATGACACGGAATATGAGGCTTGAAAGAATCTATACCCAAAATAGTCAGATAAAAACAAGGAGTTACCACCACCTCAATCTAAATACATCTATTCAACATACCAACCCTCTCTCTGTCATACCCATAGTATCATTTAGCACACAAACGCAGCATTCTCAAACCCCCGAGTCTTCCTGCACAATATTCTTCGTCTTGATATATTTATCCCACGCAGCACAATTCTCATTAAACGGAGTATAATCAACGAGATCCCGAATCTCATCTTGCCGCTCAATAAACTGTAACGCCAGACCCTCGTCAACATGCCATCCAATATGACAGTGCATCAACCACGCGCCGGGGTTATTCGTCTGGAAAGCAATAAGTAGCCACCCACTCCCAGCCAGCACGGCCGTATCTCGACGCGGGGGATTCTGCGTAATGATAGAACCATCCCACTGTGGCTTCCCAGGCCCAGGCTGTCCCTGCGCTAGGATAGAGAAGTCGTGGCCGTGAAGGTGGATGGGATGAGTGACGAGGGTGTTTTGGATGAAGAGATATACCCATTTATCCTTGAAGGGCAACTCAATCACGCCGCTTGAATTGGAGAAGCCTAGATCGTTGTGATAGATTTGCATTAGGGTCGGGTTCTCCCAGCTCACGTTCATCGAGGTGGAGTTGAACCGCCAGCGGAAGAAATTCTGTGCGTTCCTCGTATTGCTGACTGTTACGTTCTTATCCCAAACTGGTGAAACTGGTGGATCGACGTTTTTTGGGATGTGCGGAACTAGATTCGTCAAAAGTTCGTCTTCGCATACGTTGGTGAAAGGAAATGACTGCGTGCGCGGTTGTTTGGGCCTGTTGCCGTAGTAGACGATGCCCCGGATGTTGCCGGCCATTTCGTTTTGGGAGCATCTATCCGCTGGTATAGCTCTCATCCAGAAGGACTCAGCTACGGATTCCTGGTTGGCTGTGATGATAACATCATAGCGTTGACCTGGGTATGGAAAATTAGCTGGGTTTGTATGTTTAAAGCGATGACGATGAATCCAAAAAACGAACCCATTCCAATGCTGATGACATTCGTGGCAAATGGCTTTATAGGGACAAGATCTATTGCAATGACGGTCATTGTGTGGTTGTCAATAGTGAACTTCCAATGCGTGTCGATAGCAGGGTTCACGAGTCGCAAACGGTAGGATTTGCCTTTTTCCACTTTCATGTGGAAAGGCGACCCAGTAGTATTTGTACCGTTTCCATAGACATTCTTACCATTGATGAGTCCATTTGACAACTTTCTGACAGGGCCGCGTAGTTGGACATCTTGGTGCACTTGATCCACAGTTTCATGTGTCCAATCACCCAGGAACAATGCGCCCTTGTCCACATCATAATTTGCAGTTGCTGGTCCATTGATAATAATAGCACCATATACACCTTCCCACGCTTGCAGACCAATATGAGAGTGATACCACGAGGATCCATACTGGCCAGCTCGCCATTTATAGGTCATAGTCGAGCCGGGGGCAATGGGACACTGGGTGACCGAAGGAACACCATCATTTGGGTTTGTGTAGTTCTGACGAATACCGTGCCAGTGAATGCTTGAGCCATTCATTGCATGGTTCAGATGGTTGGTTACATGCACGATCACCCAGTCACCCCAGTCTGCAATAAGAGGCGGGCCAGGCAAAGTGCCATTGATGGTCATGGCTGGACGTGGAGTCATGAATCCGTCGGGAGAGATTGTGACTTCTTCGACCTCAAACCAGTACTCGCGCGTAACACCTGTATCCGGGACGATATTTTCATAGTCTGTGTCGATGCTGTGGTTGCACCAGACAGATCTGTCATTGGGTGTATTTCCTGCACATGGAGTCCCGGTAGGCCCATATGTATTGCCAACTCGATATCTTGTGGCAATTGGTCGCAGCGTTGTCGATGGGTTGTAGGAGTATTGGGCATAGGCAATGCCAGCACCAAGTAAATTGGCCAAGATGACAATGGATGAATATCTCATGATAACTCGATATCAAGCTCTTATAAAAGGACTTTTTGTATCTGTCGTCTAGAAGGATAGTTGGCACTTATTCCACCAAGTCATGGAAGGAATTTATATACCTCCCTTAGATATTCAAGCTGATCTTTTACGAACTCCTATTCTGGTCCCGAGAGAATCAACCTCATACATTGCCTCGTACATTGCCTCGTACATTGCTAGAGATGCTGGGATACCGTCGTCTCCACCGGACAAAAGCAGAAATAATAGGCTAAAAGATGATGCACAAGCCACGAGGGAGTCAAAGGCCCTCCAACTCGGTTTCAGCATGGGGCAGGACTTCGTGTTTGCCCCAAATAGATTGCTCAAGGGGGTATATCTCAATGATTCAGGCATGAATAGCAAAGCCGATGCATCAAGTCACGAGGGAGCTAAGGCCTCCAGCTCAGTTTCAGCATGAGGCAGACTTCACGTCTGTCCCCAATATATTTCTCAAGTGAGCAAGCATATCTCAATGATTCATGTATGAACAGCGAGACAATTGTTTCATCAACAATCATTGTGAAGCCAAGAAGAATCCGATGGTGTCTAGCCATCTGATCTAAACCCTCGTGCGCTGCCCCGATCTGTAGCACCACATCCACGTGGGCCATGCATTATCGTGATCAGATCTTCTTCTTTTCAGGTCCCCGACGCAGGGTCACTGATCTCGTGTGTCTGATAATCCATCCTGGCTGTGAAAAGGTAAGGCCAAGTGACGTGAGGGCAATTCGGGACTTTGCGGCGTAGGCATGACGCTCGTGTGTTACTCAGAGACAAAGGGGCCAAGGATGATGAACCAATCTTGGGCATGAGTATATATCTGACTCAATGTGTGAAACTGTGTGGTGTGACTATACGCCCCATCTGGGCAGTGTCTGTTCAGCTAGGTCAGCGTTGGAAGGGATCTTTAATTAGGGAGTGTGGTCTCAGGATATATAGGATAGGCAGCACAGTATGACAAGAGCAAGGATTCTAAAATATCCAAGCCAGAAGTTCCGTCACACTGATTCCATATATGTCTCAGCTTACCAAGCCAGCCCTGAGTTCGTTCCACTGCACTTCATAGATATATAAAAACGATTTCAAAAGCGTCCAATTCTTCATACATGGCAGTATATCTATCAAACCAGAAAATTCTTGATATCAGTCTCAAAACATGATTTCGATTATCTTTGCTGCCGTTGCGATCTTTGCAGTTGGCTCGGCGCATCCAATGGAGAAGCGACAGGCCAATGGTCCGTGGAGTTTATATGCATATGGCAACAACATCGACGGGTTGCCCATCTTCTATGCAGATGGTAAACATCTCTCGTCCTAAAAATGGATCACTATTAACCCTATTTGACGAATAGGTCAAGCTCAGATCGGTAATCTGGCCATGTCAAATGCAACCAACAAGTTCACAGTTTCCAGTAGGCCTTGAACTCCGAGTCCTCATGAAGGAAGGGTGTCTGATTTAGCCACAGTGACGTTTGGCGACAACCGAAACACTTGGGTTGCTCACCCCGATACCACGACCACCTCGAACACCACTACTGAGTCTACCATGTTCACCACAGCCGGTGTGGCCTCCAACACCAATCTGCTGGGATTGAGCGATACTGGCTTAATGGCTTTTCCAGTCATCTTTACCACCCCGAGCGGCCAGGCAAGTAACAACACAGTTGCCACAAACACAACCAGCATGTCAGCACCACAAACCAACGTGTGGACTTTATATGGAAAATATGTTATGTGCAGCCAGGACAACGTCAACTTCTACGCCCAGCCCACAGGACAAGATGGGTGGTATATATTGCTATGGAGTGCAACGGCAGATGCAGCTCTTAGAAATACTCCGGTGACTCTGAGAACCATCGGTCCTGCCTCTGGCTAAGTTCTGATACTCTCATGGCGTGTCAGGTAGGCCATTTTGTGTAGTGGCTATATGTGAATCGTGTTATCGGGCTCAAGTCAGATTCTCGACCATTTATATTCAATATAAATCAGACGGCCTTTATGTTGACCTAACTCTGCCTAGATGTTGATTTGGAGTCAATTATGCGAGCACTAGAGGTTCTACAAATAAAAGTACTATATACAAGCTTAACGCTCTTATGTATACTGTGTTTTAACTCTATATATATACCTTTTCGCCTAACAGAAAAAGAACCCAACAATTTAGATGCCTAATAATCTTCGATATATATATTTTCGTATATCTTGTATTTTCCACTTGAAATGCTCAAGTTAACCCCAAATCCTTGCAGGTCCCTAGCCTTAAAAAGGCCATAGCTTTCTTTCCCCGGGAGATCAGCAACTAACGTGACTGCCCAAAGGTGTCACAATTTCCCCTCTCAACTTCTTTGACCTTTTGACTTCTGTGGCTTTGAAGCTATATTGATATTTGGTGTGTTATCTGAAAAAGTACGAGATTGTCCTTATCCGAACAGAGAACAGAGAACAACAAATCTGTTTTCTCCCACTTCTTTTCTCAGAATGTCATGAAGACCCAACAATGTCAGACCGGATATCACGTCTGAAGGCGAAATTGCTTGGACGATTATCTCCAAAAGCGGATGCGGACCCGAGTGCCCACTTCAACCAAAAACCCCTCTCGGGCCCTCTCGACTCCAACAAATCCCCGGCTTATAGCATATCTTCAAACCATTTGGAGATCGGTTCTTCTCGCGACCGTCAGATAGAGGAACCCCTATCCCCGGGGACGAACCAGAAACCGGATTCCTCCGTGTCTGCGCCTTCGGAACAGCCTCACCACACAGGGACTCGCAATTGTACGCCGTCGACCGAGCCATACAATTCTTCCTTGCCGACTCCTATCTCGGGCGATCCTCCCTCTCCCCTTGAAACCCCTCCGTTATCAACTCCTCAGCATTCCGATAGCACCTCCTTCCAGTCCACCCACTTGAAAGCTCAAACTCCAATCCCAGCCGACACTCCATTGACTCCGACGCTGAATACCGTTGTCGAGTGGCCTACGAATGATCGCCGACCTTCTGCCTCCTACTTTCCTCCAAGCAAGCGCCCGAGCCTTGCGATCCGTCGTCAATCTCTTCTCCCAGCAACACACCAACATTTGATTAGCGGGCTACTAGAGGCGAGTCTTTTCTCTTCAGAAGACCAGGGCAGAGGTTTCACTCCCCTTGTTCCTCGCGAGATGGTCACACGTCGGATTTGGGTCAAACGGCCCGGTGGCTCGGCCACCTTGGTGCCGTGCAGAGAGGATGCGGTGGTAGATGAGCTACGCGACCAAGTCATCATGAAATACGGGAATTCACTAGGGAGAAGCTTTGACTCGCCCGACATCGCTATCCGGGTTTCACCACGAGAGGGTGCGAATCGACCAAGTCACTCTGAGCGCCTCTTGAGCCCGGAGGAAGTCCTGTCATCTATACTCGATACATACTACCCTGGTGGACAAAAAATCGAGGAAGCATTGGTGATCGATGCTCCGTCACGCCGGACCCCAAAGCCATCGCCGCGCCATTCGATTTACCAGCACCACCACTCGGAACCCGGCGAGCATGGCGATTACTTCCCTCTCATGCCGCCGGTCAATGCAAACGCGGGCACACCGTCTGCACACTCGGGAGCTCCATCAGCATCGGCTAGTGCGCCGTCTATCTCCATTCTTAACAGTGGTATTGCTCCTCTACTGCCATCCCCGGGAAGCCGTAGGGCACGACATCAGCAACGACCTCCGTTGACACGACACAAAACAAATTCTCCCACGATTCTTCATACCCAAAACACCCAAACTCCTGGCATAACAGGTATGTTTTCAGACAACTTTGCTTTGCTCAACATGGCCACTAACATCCATAGAAACCGGCGCTACTCCTCATTCCCAACCTATCCCGGCTCCCGCTCCCGCAATGCCTACACCCCCGGCGGCAGCACCGCCGATAGAATCCCCGCAAGTGAAATCACACACTCCCCCGGCGGCAACTGCGTCACCACGCGTGGTCCGAAAATCAAAAGCGGCCACTTCTCCCGGTGCTATGTTTGGCGGGTTGATTGACGGCACCGTTCCGCCAATCAATGTCCTCATTGTGGAAGACAACATCATCAACCAGAAGCTTTTGGAGGCCTTCATGAAAAGGTTGAAGGTGCGCTGGAAATGTGCAATGAACGGCGAAGAGGCAGTGCGGAAATGGCGGCAAGGTGGATTCCATTTGGTTCTGATGGACATCCAGCTTCCCGTGATGAACGGTCTGGAAGCCACCAAGGAGATCCGGCGCCTGGAGCGTTTAAATGGCATTGGTGTCTTCCCGAAGACAGCCTCTGGACGCTTCAGCGCGTACACATCTGCTGCGGACAGAAGACCCGGCCTTCACCGTACGGTCAGCGAAGAGGACACCTTGCCAGATCTCTCGCTGTTCCGGAGTCCGGTCATTATCGTCGCGTTGACAGCTAGCAGTTTGCAAAGTGATCGACATGAGGCATTGGCTGCTGGCTGCAACGATTTCCTGACCAAGGTAAGTCTAGCTCCCTATTACGACTACGTTTCTCAAATAGTATACTAATATTTCTCGATAGCCTGTCGGATTCCCTTGGCTTGAGCAGAAAGTGACAGAATGGGGCTGCATGCAAGCCCTGATTGACTTTGAAGGCTGGCGCAAATGGCGCGGGTTCCTGGACTCTCCTCGCCCCGCCTCGCCAGCTGTCGATACATCAGCGAGCCCGATGCAAGGTGGCTACCGCAAAGAACCACCCCATGTGGATCCCCCATCGCCCTCGGACTCCCGCCCCGGTAATAGGTCCGATCACCACGACACCAAGCCACACCGGCCAGATGTCGCGCAAATCATGCGGGAAGATTCATGGGGTAGCGGCAGTCCCGACAGCTTAGATTCGCTCTCAAGTCTGCATTTGCCAACACCGGGAGATGCAGTGTCAACCACTGGTGCGACAGCCGCACCCCCGGATGAAGAATGAAGACGGATTTGTCTTTGGATGGGTTACCATGCCTTGGTTGGTCCCAACACACTTCCAATAATCTTTTCCTAACCTGTTTGATTCGACTTTCTGTCTCTCCCATTGAATACCCCGAATAGCAACGTGTCTTTTCTCTCCAATCTCTTCCTTTCATCTTGTCACGGTAGCTTGCACTTCGCTTCCAGGTTCTCAGATCCAGTGTATGGTTTTCCTCGTGGATCTTCTTTTGGCCGTATGGATATATTTTGTTATTTGGGCTGCATACGCATCGCATTTCCTGCGCACGTTTTTTTTTTCCTTTTCTGTGGCTGGTTTCTTTTGTCCACCGTCCGGTATTTTCACTCTTGCATACAACTTGTGGACATCCTCATATATACGAACGAGATGTCCTCATGCCTCTATCTTTCAATGTATAGTTTTCTTTGTTTGTTTCGACTTTAGGTTTGGAGGCTTGGTGTATCCTCCTGCCTTGTACATATTTCACTAATTCTTTGAGAGGTGATGATTTGTGTAGATACATTTAGCCATAGTATTCAAAGTATTTGCTTAGTCCTCTTAAAGTCTTTTGAAGTTATACGATTTGTAGCTTCTACCTAGCTATTTAGAGTAAATTTCTACATCCTCCGAAGCATCGGGACAAAGAAAATGTCTCATATAACCTGTCTACATATTGCACATTTTCCAGATTCTCTCGCATCCAGGGTAATACAGCATATCTCAAGAAAAGAACTTGTCCAATAGCGGTTAATCAAGAGATCTGCACGATGCGATCAGCACCAATCAAGAGAAAGCAGCATGACCGAAGTACGAGGACCAACTCCGAGAAGCTTTTAGACGATAGCAAATGATTTCAAGTCCAGATTTGGGTACTTATGCAGGTGACCGAGTTCTGGGCTTTGTCTGCATCTCCCTGAGAATTGTCTGCATGTGATGTTCGCATTGTCTTCGATCCCTTCCAAGGTTAAATACCATAGCTTGCCCCCGAACCTCTGCGTACTTTCTACATAGTTACATCTTACAACCTACACCCTACATACATCATACATACCAGTCTATCGTCTATTATTATCTCCCAATATACTATTTGTCATAAGACCTGCTCTCACCAACCACATACCACAAACCCCGCATCTCTCTCACCCCCTCACTCAGCTCAACCATGCAGCCATCAGCCCCAGCCTCCCCTACTACCACTACTACTACTACCTCCTGGCTCCAAAGTGCCCTCGCCTCAATTGGATCCATTTTCCAAACTTCCTCCAAGGAAGATGAGTCTGAAACCGATGCGATTTCCGGATGGGTTGGGACGAGAAGGCGACGCTGTCGATCTGTCGGTGAGGCTCGTTGAGAGTTGACCATGTGGTTGCCTGGTTAATTCTTGGGAATGGGAAGAATTGAAAGGGGATAAGAATGGAAGAAGAAGTGCTGAATGGAATAGCGGGACTGCTGGCCATATCTCTTGCTCTTTTCTTTTCTTGGCGAGGCGCCGTGCGTTGTGATTTTGATATCTCGGGTTCTTATATTTTCGGGGTACTTTTGTTTCAAAGGGCTTGCTGGACTGGTCAGGGAATGAATGATATATGATGTTAACGAAGTATTTACTGGTTCAGGAACATGAATAATGTCCAAACATGGTATATGTATGAGTGCTTAGACTCAGATTCAGATCAATACTTGATCTCAACTTCTTTTAGCCTGTAATTCCTAGTTATACAAAGAACGGTCCTCCGTAGGGTTTATGCTTTTTAGCGCCTTCGTATATTGTATAGTGATAAGCCCGGCATGTCTTCTTTCTATAGCTAATGATCATCCTGCTAGCTATAACGCCGAAAAGAGAAGAAAATCTAAAAAAAAAAATGGGAGTGTTATCTTAGGACATATAACATTCTTCTTGAGCCAGATTAATCAGATTATTAAAGCCCTACGCCGTGAAGGACAGAGGCTGCATACGTGGCCGACTACTCTTCTATTGTATACTTTTTTCCTAAATGTACGCTATATCTAATTGAACGTGGTGATTTAGAATTGATTTCTAGAGCTTCTAAGATAGAGACTTCTAGAATTCGTAGTTTATATACTTTACTTCACGCCGCTTCCTTAACACTAAAACTACTACATTCAAAGCCCTGCAAAGCCCTGCGAGAAGTTCTCCAATGTCCGTGAGCAACTCGAATTTTTTAACAATCCCACACATAAAAGTCATTTGAAAAGCGCTGCCCTTGTCTAACTACTAACCCGTTCCTAGGCCTCTCTCATCGCTCCGTTACTATCAGTACTAAACAAACATATTCAACAGGTTCCCCCATATACATGTAGCGTGCCCGTCTCTCCCTTGCTATACGCTTCCAAGTCACAAAATACTGCAATACAAGATAGTGCCTTTCCAAACATCGGGTATCTTCAGCTCTAGAGATCGTTTGCAAAGATGAGGGGTTGCTTATCATCTTTCAAGTACACCATTCCCGATTCCAAAAAAACAGCATAAGAACATGCTATGACCAAGCGTTCCATCGGCAAGGAAACAAGCATCCGCACAGCGCGGGGTAACAGGCTTCGAGCTTCGACGAGCTTGCACCATTTCCTTAAGTCGATCTCAATTTAAAGACGTCCCTTTCCATCATCGGTTTTAGCCCGGCCAGCGTTCAAGAGACTCGCCGTTTTCTCAGACGAATCAGGAATTTGATCGACCCTGGCAGTCGCTTGTTTCTTCGAGCCGGAGCGATCCCAATCAATCAAGCCCAACGTCGACGCGATCAATACGCAACCGACGAAAAGACCTGAAACGATCGGAATGAGAATCGCGGCAATCGCGCCAACTATCAGGTACTGAGGGAGGATAGAGAGTACTTCGAAGCGGGCGATGAGAGACTCCATATTTGTGTGGAGGTGAGGTTTATAGCAAAGGGATTTGATATATGAGATGTGAAAGGTTTCTTTCTTCTCTTATGGGAAAGTCATATCATCTCGTTTGCACTGTTTACATGGGAATGTCGGGGACAGTCTCTATTAGTAGCGAGTTCCGATTTTGGGGTTCTAAAGTTGATAAGATCATCCAAGATCATCCATTGGGCCCCCAGGTGGGCATTCAAAGTATGCCTCGATCTCAGCCTCGGGATATGTGATTATGTAAGGCTCGCTGATCGGGCAACTGGGGAAGTCAAAATACAGGTGTGCTCAATTATACCGAGTTACTTAGGATCAAAAAGCGGGTGAATGAAATGGAATGGGAAAGGTTTCGACATTATCCGGTATATAGGTACATAACAGCCTCCTTCATACATCCATGGATGAGTATGCGTACAAGTAAAATTACAAAAGGCCGTAGCCGAGAAGGTTGCTGAAAAACGCAGAAAAAGAACAAAGAAACAGCCCGAGGACTATCTCAAGATAAATCAAGCCTCCACACGGGTAGGAATCTTGACTTCGCCGCGTGTGCGGTCACGGTGAGGCACACCGTAGCGACGACCAGCAGCCTTCGATCCACGGCCATCAGCGCCGGTGGTCTCCGTAGTGTAGATAGTATCCTTGATACGGTAGTCGAAACGCGAGTCCTCGGGCGAGACAACAGTCAACTTCTTCTCACGGCGAGCCTGCATGCGCTCACGACGCTCCTTCTCAATTGCGTCCTGGCGCTTGAGTCTTTTAGATTGGAGGTCCGCAACAGCTAGACGCTCGTTGGGGTGCGCGAGGCGGTCGCGCTCCAGAGCAACCATGTGAGGGTGAGGAATGCGCACGTCAGCAGGCTGCAGGATCTGGCGGGCGTTGGCACCCTTGCCGACCCAGCTGATGGAGTTGGGGTCCTCGATGATCTTTTCGGCGAGGTCAGAGGGGTGGGAGATTTCCGCGGCCTCAGAGTGCTCCATTGCTGGGGCGCCGGAGAAGACGCGACCCGCCTCGACACGGTTGAAGGAACGGGATTCGGGGACTGGGTAGAAGATTTGGGAGCCTGTCAGGGGGTGGGCGGGGAGGTCGTTGATGGGTTCGTGGAATGGTTGACGCTCGCCTTTCTCGGCGAGGGGTGTGGTGGGGACCATCTCGTGGATGGCCCGGGCATATGGCAGTGCTAGAGGTTTTCCCTGATTTGAGATTCGTCAGTTCATGTCACGCGACCAAATAAAACTTGATAGGAATCCAAAATGTAAGGGTAACACAGTTCAGTTCAAAAAGTAAGGTTTAACCATGTGGGTGTCTTCAAGACTAATCGATTTTTTGTGACTCATCATATGCGTGGAGGGTCGAAGCAAAGTCCGAAAGCAAAGGGGGAAAAAAACACAAAGGGAAGATTTTCATACCTGTGCGCGCTGTCTCTTCTCCAATTCTACCAATCTCACGACAGCAGCAATACGCTTCATATCGATTCCAAGCTCCACGCTGACGGCGCGGAGACTCTTCTTCTGTTCAACGATGCGGTTATAGACCTCATTCCGTAGCTCCTCACTGAGGACAGGCTCGCTGAAGAAACTTGGGTTGTTGGGGAACGGACGGTTGTTCTCTGAACTCTCGTCGCCTCGTTTTTGTATGCGACTAATGTAGTTGGTTTCTCCAGGAACGTGATGCTTGAAAACAGCTCCATCATTGTTAAGCCATTCGAACATCTGCCGACGGAGCTTGGTCTGTGCCTGTGGTGCTGCCGTGGCAGAGAACTGACGGGAAAGGCATTGTGATGATGTAGAGGATAATGGAGGAATGGAAGAAAGTGAGGATGAGGAAGAGGAGGTAGCTGTGAGGTAGGGAAGAAGGGTGTTGGACACGCTCCGGCTCTGTATCCGGGGTGGCATCTTGGAGGATATGATGGGGGAATGGGAGGGATAATTTAATGTTAAACTGAATGAGAGACGCTGGATATTAAGAATCAAGGAGTTCCAGCTGCCATTGACGCTTTTGCAGCAATAATTGAAAGATGGGAGGTTGTCGGGTTGGAGCGGGAAGTGTAGGTGTCTGCAGGGGAAGAAACTTCTCGGTAGTGCCATCACGTGACCTCATCTCCACTGTATACACGAAGTAAACATCCATGGATCTTCCTCCCATTCCCTATATTAGGACTCATAAGATAATAATAGGGTTTAAATGGTTCTGTATATTTACGCTCGCAGTAGAAGCGATACAGGATCTGCTTGACAGGTGCTATAAAATATATATGAAGAGTCGCCCAAAAGGACGTAAAAAAGAGTCCCGTGAAAGCTCTTTACTAGAACTTAACATTATTATAAATGGATTAAATGGGTTCGTTCTCCAGGATGATTGGAACCAGTTCATTGTATCAAGTACAGATCGAAGCAAATGAATCGGTATCATACCCCCAAGCAAGACGGGGTAAGAGGAAGAGTAAAAAATAATAGACATGCCTCGTTTCTTCATTCTTCTGGAAAAGCAGAGTAAGCCAGACCCAAAGCAAAACGAGTGGCAATGCAAGCAAGATGAGAGAAAAGCTTTCAAGCAAAATGCATGGGGCCGGACGCCTTCGTCTCCGCCGAGATGAGAGGAATATGGCAGGAGAGAGATAAAACAAACGCGAACGCCTGGGACAATATGTGGTCAACCGGAGCCGATGTCATGTCCTTCCGTAGCTCATGCCATTGAGTAGAGAGATATTAGAAGAGAAGCTAAAGAAAGCCGCATAAGACCCTTCTTTTTTTTTCCGTACTTGCATAGAAATAAACACGCATTGCAATAGAGAAAGCAAGTAAATCAGCAAAATCCTTTCCGATCCACGCAGACGATGCATCGAGAAAGATCCAGGGGATAGATGTAACAAACAGGGGGAATCACGTGGAATAAAGTAGATAACAGCTCGTAAAGATCCTGGTTAGGGCAGAGACAGCAAACACACATTAGTGTGCATTGCCTATTGAGTCAGGATAAACGAGCGAGATAAACGAGAACAAAAGCAAGAAATCACGAGGGTATGAAGGTGTGAACAAAACGCAATGGCCAACAGAAACAAATGCGCTCTCGAGCGCCTCGCACCGACCAGATAAGAATACAAGTTTGGCAATGACCTGAAATGCAATCCTCCCAATGAAACGCGATAACAAAAAAAGGAATGTAAGAGCGCCTAGGTTCCCATGCAACAGAAAGGCGAAAAGCCAAGAAAAGGACTGGCAGAAAAAGAAGGGGGGCAAAAAAAAAAAACCAGAAAAGCAAATCCGAAACAGTACTCCCGAGAGTTATGCAGCCGCCGAATGCTGATCTAGCTCACGAAACGAAGATCCCCAAATGCGCCAGATATCCCAGTTCGTTCAAACATGCCGGGCATTATCTTAATATAACGCTTGAATGGGCTTAGCGACCCATCATGTAGTCAGGGTAAAAGGAATTATAGCCGTTCAGGTTCGGTGCCGCATTGTTGTTGCCGCCAGAATTAGAAGGGGGCGGCGGCGACATCATCATTGAATTGGCTCCGTTTCGGATTCCCAGGCCCGAGTTGGGGTTGTATGAGGCATTGCCCATCAGTCCAGCATGTGGATTGACAGGGGTGTGCATGGAGGCACCATTGCGCATCGGAGGCGCAGGCATGGGCATGCCAAGACCAGGAGGTGCTGCAAGTCCGGGAGGGGGACCGTTGACAGCCGAGAACATGTTGTTGTGGATTCCACTCAAGCTGCTGCCTCCAGGAACTGCGCTCTGTCCAGAGGCCGAGTTGGACGAGTTCATGCTGCCGGGTTGACCAGAGCGCACACCCAAAGGATTCTTTGAGAAGCTGAGACGGATGCCAGTCTTGACACTGTTCGACAGCTTGTAGCCGTACAGCTCATTGAGCGCTTTGCTGGCCATGGCGACCTCGTCGAATTCCACAAAGCACATGGGTCCGTTCTGCTTGTTTCGGAAACAGAGTCGCTTGTACCCGCGTTGTTTGGAGAAAAGAGCTTTAAGTTCCTCCTCGGAAGTGTCGGGTGGCAAGTTGCCCACGTACAGAGTGTTGCAAGGAGGATTCAGATCATTCGGGTTCGCAGCAGGGAGGCTGTGGCGTGGTGTGTGCTGAGCGTTGTATGGGAAATTATGGCCCTGATTCGGGTATGCAGATGCGGGTGTTCCACCGCCCATGCGTTGCGCGCCACCCCCGGGGTAGTTCTGCAAAGGTGGCGATGGCATGTTGGTCGACAGGGACATATTGGCAAAGCGGTTGGTCGGAATTTGAGGGTTGGTGGCCCGGCGTCCAGCGGAGACATTGGTGGAATGGCCATTCTCTGCATAGCCCACCGGATCCTTGAGCAGCTCACCCGTCTCCTCGTCCGGGTCTTCATCAATCATAGACTTCCCGGTTATGCGTGGGAGGTTATCAATGCTATTTCCGATCGGAGATTGTGGGGAGAAAAGGCTGTGCATCCGCGAGCCTGATTCAGAGGTCGGAGGAAGTCCTTCGCCAATCGGCTGGTTGGGGTTGGCGTTGGAGAGCCTCTCTAGGCTTTGGAAAGTGCCGTTGAAGCGCGACGATTGGCGCGCAAGGGGACCGTTCGAGGCACCCATTAACGCACGACTCGCGGTGTGATCGATGGTGTTACGGCGCGTGTTCGATAGATTCGCTCCCATCGGACCGGGGTACATCTCGACGACCATGTTGGCGTCGTTTTTGGAGTTCGGCTTGCCATCGAGGAGGGATCTGGCCTCTTCTGCGGCTGGCAAAGTAATGAATCGCGCGATCGCGGTCAAGAACCCGTCATCCTCCGGCAAGTCCAAGGTCACAAAGTCCGCGTCAACAAAGTCTTTCGCGAAAAGGAGCATGCTGCGCAGGGCTTCGCGGCTCGTGTTTCGCGGCAGTTTGCGCATGAGAATCGCGCCTCCATTTCCGCGATTCAGGCCATTCAGGCCCTGGAGGTTGCGATCGTTATCGCCCAAGCGCATGTTGTTATCGAATGAAGTTGTTGTACCGATAGGGGAGAAAGGGTATGAGAAAGACGGGTTCATAGATGAAGGCGCTTGCGACGCATTCGGACTATACACGTCGGTCGACATCGCATGCTGAGCCGTCAAAGGCGCCTGCGAAGATGGGAGTGACTGCTGTGGGGGCGAACCAGATGACACGGACTCTGTGAGCTGTGTAGTTCCAAAAGAGCCGGGACTCGTACGAGTAGACTGGCTAGAGCTGCTGCTCATCCCTCCACGAGATTTGAATTTTTTCGAATTTTTTCTTCGCCTTTCGGGGGTTCGCGATCACACAGGGGAAGATAGTCTAGGTAGGGGAAAAAAAGGAGTCGCGGGATATGGAAAGTCGAAGTTCGGGGCAGTGATTTGTAATGCGACAAGAGATCGTACACCAAACGCGATGCAACGATAGAAATGAAGGAAGGCGAAGGCGAAGGCGATTAGCGATTCGATCGAAAGTCGAGTTTACTCGAATGGTGTCTCATCGGATTTGCGACAGGTTGGACTTATGAGCGCTTTGAAAACGATTGAGATAAAGATGGAAATTGACAAGAATGGTAAGATGGATGCAAAAGGGAGAAAGGTTTGAAAGGAGGGGATGAAGGAGAGTGCAGGGGAGGGGGGGAAGAAAAGAGTCCGGAACGGTCGAGTGCCAGTCCACAAGTGCCAGATCCATGGATCTGCCCTTCACGACGCGACTCAATGGGGAACAGGTATGTGACAGTGGAGGTACATGGGGTTATATGTAGATCTTCCTATTAGGGGATGTACTGAAAGGTATATGACAGTACATGGTCAGCTCCTTACACAATTTTACCCAATTTTACACAGTCTTACACCTTGGCCCTGGAAACTGGCCGCATGCAGAGAGTTACCAAGTGCGTGCCCCGAGGTGACTTGTGGTGACTGTGGAATGCCCCGGTTTTTTTCTCTCTTTCTTTTCTTTCTGTTCTCCTGTATCTTAGAGATCGACGGGTGGATCATAAATGTATCTCTGGAAAAGCACCGGCCATGCAAGTAAAGTGCCTATGCGGCTTGCCGTACCCCGGCTCTGCACGCGATTGGGGCTCTACGAAATGAAACATACATACCTAGGTACACCCACAGGGATGTTTTACCTACTCCGTACAGACTCGGTAGAATAGGTAATCCAAAGCCGGTACCAAGTCCATACAATACTGGGCGGACAGTTTATTGGATGAACCTTGAATACATTTACTGCCGTTAACCAGTCCAGATCGCAAGAGCCAACGGCTTGATATCGCATACCTCATACCTCAAGTCATGTGCCTACATTATATTGTACATCTAAGCCCATTTTATAAAGTAGTAACTTGGAATAATACAACCTTGGAAGGTCATCGCACACATCCACGGAATCCCAAAAGTCAAAAACTGGCGATCCTCCAGGGTCACTGGCCAATTGCCACGGGTCCAACCCCGGCAACACATGGGATTGGCTGCCACGGGGAAATGACTTGGGCTTATCGAGGGGGCGATGGTTCATTTGGTTGGGCCGTGGAGAGAAGCCACTGCTTAGGGGCTTTATTAGCACTACTTCTTCAGTGTGCCTGAACTGGTCATCGGCGCGTCAAATGTTTTGGCTTTCATGTTTACTGAATACGGTTTCCAAGGGTATCTTTCGATGCATTTAAGATTTACTTGTGGTTTAGTAGCATCTGTATACCTCATGACTCTACAATGTAGGCATATATGAGCAGTTTATGGACAAGTATGCTTGTAACGCTTAGGCTACCTCGGTACGGAGTGCGTGCCTGCCTAGGCATGTGTTCTTCACCGTAGAGACAAATTCAAATCGTATCAGTAGATATTCATGCTGCGGCTCATCTACCGCGTAGAGTCAGAGCAGTCAGGCTGCCACATAATATACAGAGGTTCCCACAAGGCAACTCAAAAACGCCAAAAATGCCAGCAAAATCAGGAAAGAAAAAAGAAACACAGCGCGACTTCCGACCTGTCATCGATGGTGCCATGCCTTGACTTTTCCAAGGTCCTCCGATGTTGTCCGGCCGAGTACACAAAG